AGTTATTATTAATGAGGTTTTAATATTTGTTATGCATGGTATTTGTGGTAATCTAATAATTGGTTTAGGCTTCAAAAGATTTTTGTATTTAACCCTACAAATTAAGTATAAAATAACTAAGTAGCCAAAACAACAAACACTTCAACTTCTCGTTACTTCATCCACATTTCCTCATCATTTTCTCAACAACCAAACAGAAAAAAGTAATGATTTGACTCTAAACCACTAGCAAAGATTAAGCTAATAAATTTTTTTCTTTTTCATTTTTCACAATAAAATTTGGTTTTTGGATTAAATAATTGGTAGTTGTAATGTAATGATTAACCTAACAAAGATTTGATATAGTGAGAATTCCCACCCATTACACCTTATATTTTGGTTGGAGTAAACAATCAAATATAAATATTCCTATAAATTATCAATTATATTGATGAATGAAATTTAATCATTTTAAGATATAATGGTCCCTTCTCATCGATGCCTATTTAACTCTCTTTACCATGTAAATCAAGAATAAAATAACTAAACACCCTAATTTTCACCTCAACCAGCCAAAACACCAAACACTTCAACTTCTCATCACTTCATTCGTATTTTCTCATCATTTTCTCAACAACCAAACAGAAAACAATAATGATCTGACTCTAAACCACTAACAACCACTAAAACCACATGAAATTGAACTATTCACCATAACTTACACACACATTGCTACAAAGAGATGAAAATCTCAGTAATCATTGTATCTATCGTATGATTTGTCCAATGAATATTTACTGATGAAAGAAGGAATTAAATGGAGCTTACCATATGTTCAAATAGAAAATTAAACGCAAATTTGTTTATAATAACACTCATATGTTTGCAATTTTAGCGTGAAGTTTTACTTTAAATTTCTCGCTTAATCTCCTTCTTCTTCATCTAGCTCAAAACTCACAGAGTTATGAACACATTTCTTATGGGGTTTTCAGGTAAGCGCTTTCTTGCTGAACAAAGTGCTTCATGAATAAGTTACATTGCTAAGAAGATGTTAATCACTTTAAATCTGAATTCTTTTGTTGATTGAAATGATACAGATGTTGAACGATTACGGCAACAAGCACACCATCGATGGTTTAAGCCACATGAAGTATTGAAAAATACTTGAAAACCATAAAAAAACTCAATATACTCACGTCTCAACCACTAGAAAGCCGCCAAGTATTGTTTTGTTTTGGATATTGTTTCATCAAATTTTTACATATGCGATTTGCTCTTGGCTTGATTTACATTTATTTCTTATAGTAGGTGGTTCCGCTTTTCTAGTTGAGTGATAGAGGCTTGCAAAGTTTAAAAAGGATGGTCACGTTTGGAGCGAAAAAACGGAGGATAAAAAGGGAATCCTGGAGTTTCAACCGAGTCTTAAGGTTAGTGCAATAATTGCATGAGACTTTTAATATGGTATAAGAATTAATTTTATAATATTTATATTCAGTGCTCTCAATTTAGTAGATTAACAACTGCAAATTTTCATAAATTTTTAATTGCTTGAGCCTCATGCTCATAATTAACGCGTTAAAGAGTTGGTTTATAATAACACTCATATGTGTGCAATTTTAATGCGAAGTCTTATTTTAAATTTCCCACTTAATCTTCTTCTTCTTCTTCTGCTAGCTCAAAACTCACAAAGTTACATACATCTTTCTTATGGAGCTTTCATTAGATTTTTTTTTGCTAAACAAAGTTCTTTATGAATAAGTTACATTGTTGAGAAGATGTTCATCACTTGCAATTTGAATTCTTTTGTTGATTGAAATTATACAAATGTTAAACAATCACTATAAGATCCGCACTTTTAATGGTTTAGGTCAAGCGAAATATTGAAAATATTTGAAAATTATGAAATGCATAATTAGAGAGAGGATTTATGCAAGTTGTAAAAAAAAGAGTAATTGAGAAACTAAAGGCATAATTAGAGAGAGGAGAGTATGTCTATTTTATAGGAAAAATTATATGAGTCCCAAGGATACTGCACGGCAACTGCACGCTGAGCGCACGTCAACCGCACGCCTAATTGTTTTAAATAATTTTGAGATAAGAAGCTCCATCTTTTGAGATAAGAAATTTCATTGTCCCTATTATGTTATCAAAACAAATCCTATTACATATTACTAAACAAGTAAATGAAAATAATGGGACTATTTTTAAGTAGTATATTTGCCAAAACTTGATGCCCTAAACCCTAATCCTAAACCATAAACCCTAATCCTAAACCCTAAACCCGACCATTATTATCTATATTAGTTACTTATAAATGGATTGTTCAAATTGCAAATCTAACAATTTATTGTTCATCATTCAATTAATTACACAAAAACAAACAAAGAGTCAAACTAAATTTATCAAACATAGTTAAACATAATAACGAAAAATATTTTTCATAAAACATATTATCATTTAACATTTAATATAAATCTGAAAAATTTTAAACTCATCCAATAACAACAAAACATTTAAATTAAAATAACCATAACCAATAACATGCAAACACTTACCAAAAAATATCAAAAGTCGTATGAATTAACAATAATCCAATTACACTGAATAAAACACAAACAGTTATTGTAATCATTAATTATAATATAATATTACTTAATAATGTCTGTGTGCAATCATTCATAATGTCATTCAATGACATCTAGAGCTATAAGAATAAACAATTACACCTCTTTATAAAATTATTTAAAAAAAACCCGATAGACGTATTTAATACTTCTTTAAAGAAGTGGATAAGTTTCAATTGAAGCGATTTTGTAAGGGTGAAAATGAAATAAACCCGAACTTAGATTAAAAGATCCCACTTAGAACATGGTCATTAAACTTTTACAAGCCTTGCTTCAACAAATAGCAATACGGTATCATTAGAGTGACCAAATTGCAGTTATAAAATGTATTAAAATACTATTAAAGACTTAAGTAAAATAAAACATTCTGAGATAGAATCTCAGCTTCTCCTTCTCCTGCAACAACATTTTCTTTTCTACTTTCTCTCTTCTCTACTTCCAGAAGCCTGCAAATCAAATAAAATCAATTAAGTCATGTAATTTATTGTTTGTTTGATTACTTACCTTCTTAAACCGGACCTCAATGATGGTGTCGATTGATTAGCCTAAATAGCTACATACTTGATATACATAGCCGATGTCATCTTTTAAGATAAAAATATGCTTACACATTTCTTTTTCCATGTGAGCTGGCTGTTCAACCACATCCTACAAAAAAGAGTAAAAAAAAATTTGACCTAGAAGAATGTTTTGCTAGGTTTAACAGAAATGAATAGATAAATGATATGTAAAATTAGAAAGACCAGAATACCTTGGATTTGGAAGATTTCAAGGCCATTGCCATCTCCTCCCAAAGTTCCCTCAAATCGTCTGTTTTAGTCTTGGCACTGGAGTGTTTTGCATTATTAGACATTTTAACTTCACAAAAACTTAAGAAATAAAGAGTTGCAGAGAACTATCAAATATTTGATTGTTCGTAACAAAAACAAAATATGAACGATAATATGTATAGAGTTTATACCTTGAGAGAAGAAGGAAAAAGCGTGTCTGAGCATAGAGGTCCAAAATGGCATTACCTTGAGAGAAGAAGGAAAAAAGGTGCAAAGACGACACAGAAGTTCAAAAATGGCATGATATTGGTATTCTGACTCTAGATCTAGAGAAGTTGCAAGTTTGAGATTTAGAGTCATCAATGATCAAAATACAAGATTAATTAAATAAATATTTCATTAAATTACTTTCATATACTTTCTATGTGTTATTAAATATTAGAAAATTCCAGTCAAATTATATAAACAATCTAATTAAATCATCACCCCCTAACCTCATCTAATTATCTTGTCTTTGTCATATATATTTAACAAATACAACAAAGTAGAATCATTCCAAAGATGAATTATTTTATGTTTGTATAAGAATCTAAAAGTTGCAGTGATGAGTGGTCATTTTATACTCCAAATCTGCTTCCTTTTGCTTAGTACGTCTAGATTTTGCCATCTTTTTTAATTCTAATATTCGCAGCAAAATATATAATTGATAATCCTCATACAAATGGTACATACTGCATTTAACGATAGCAATAGTATAAGCCACCACAAAAGAAGAATTTAAAAATGCAAAATAAAATTCACATCATATCTGAAGCTCACCTCATCTCTAAACCATGTAAGAACTAAATTTTCCTTTCAATACAACCTAACTACCATAAAGAAACCTAGCAAAATAAAATCTTATAAGCATCATGTCTAAATGATAAAGGAGAATCAATTTCTCCATGATACGTGCTGCCTTATCTTTCTGTTAGCATAATATCCAATATGTGCTGCCTTCCTTTTCTGTTAAGCATAATATCCGCTTGTATAGTTGTAGGGATAAACTCATTATTTGTATTTGATTCTTTCCTATTATATAGGAGTTTGCAACTGTAATTATCGTGTATATACAATGAAGGGTTATCTCCTCATAATGTAAGGAGGATTTCAGTCATTTACTGTGTTTATCAAACATCTTTATGGTATTAGATTTAAGGTTTTCCTTTCTCTGATTCTGACCATGGCTGATTCATCTTCTTCACCTCCTACTCTTCCGCTCAACACAATGGTGCATATGCTCACCATTAAACTGACATTCTCTAATTGTCTATTGTGCAGAAATCAGTTCGTTCCTTTGTTAGCTAGTCAATAGCTTTTTGGTTATTTGGACGGTAGCATCACGGCCTCTTCTCCTACGATTATTGCTTCTGATGGCACCTCAAAAACCAATCCTGCATATACCTCTTGGCTGGATACCAATCAGACACTGCACAACTTATTCTATTCTTTTCTTACGGAGGAATCTATGACTATGAGTGAGGTATTGGGTTTCTGTCACTCCCATGAGGCCTGACATGCGCTTGAAGTCTCATTTTCGCACCAATCAAAGACTCGAGAATTGCAACTCAAGGATGAACTCCACCTGATGCAACGTGGCTCTCAGTCCATTGCTGAGTTTTCTTGCACCTTCAAAGGTCTTTGCGATCAACTGGTTGCTATTGGTCGTCCCATTAACGACATGGATAAAGTCCATTGGTACCTACACGCATTAGGACTCAACTACAAGATCTTTTCTACCACCATGATGTCACAACTTCCTCTACCATCCTTTATAGAGATTGTTCTGAAAGCTTTGAGCCATGAAATCTTTGAATGGCCAGTTTCCCATTCATCATCCAACTTTGCTTATTTTGTGCAGCAAATTTCCAAAGTGGCTAGTCATAAGAAAGTGAAGCATCGGCCTTCAGCCTCTCCTACACTGTCTGCCAATTCGAAGTCATCATTCAACTCCTCCATTCATTGTCAGTTGTGTGACAAAGAGGGCCACTTAGCCAAACGTTGCTAGACTTTCTTGAAACTCAAGAAGAAGCAATCGGCTAACCTTGCTGAGGCATTTTCTTCTTGCTCCATTTAGGATTTGAATGACTCCGAATGGTTCCCTGACTCTGGTGCAACGTCCCACATGACTAGTGACATTGAGGGTGTGGATCAACTGGCTGTCTATTCTGGTAATGAACGTGTCATGGTTGGCAATGGTTAGTCTTTAACCATCCCTCACATTGGTTCCATTTCATCTCTTGTTCCATCTAGTCCTCTTCTTTTATCTAATGTCTTAGTTGTTATTGGAATTAAGAAAAATCTTATTTCTATTAGTCAACTTACCAAAGACAATAATTTTTGTGTTACCTTCTCTTCCTCTGGTTTTACCATACAGGATCGGGTCACAAGAGTGATATTGGGAGTCAGAAGATGTGAAAATGGTCTCTACATGTTGGATAGTCGTCATCATGCATTCGTGTCCATTACTTCTTCACCAGCAGCATCCGTTTGTTCATGGCATGCTCGCCTTGGTCATCCACATTATCGTACTGTCGTTGCTCTTTCTAAATTAGGATCTATTTCTTGTAGTAATAAATTGGTGAACAATGATTCTGAAATTTATGTTGGTTGTAGAATCGGCAAAAGCCACTGTTTACTCTTTTCTCTTAATGATGAATGTTGTGCCATGCCTTTTGATCGTTTACACTGTGACTTATGGGGTTCGTCACCCGTTTGTTCTTTTACTGGATATAGATACTATGTGGTTTTCATTTATGATTGTAAAGATTTAATTGGATGTTCCCTTTAAAACACAAATCCAATTTCTTTGACACTTTCCTCTATTTACAATGTTTTATTGAGATACAATTTTCTGCAAAAATCAAATCATTTCAGTGTGATGGTGGAACTGAGTTTACTAATATTAAGTTTCGCTCTCATCTGTATTCTTGTGGCATTGATCTTCGTCTGGCATGTCCTTACACTCCTAGTCAGAATGGAATTGTCAAACGTAAGCCTCACTATGTCACAAAAACAGGTCTTACTCTTATGTTTCATGCTCATGTGTCACTCTCCTTATGGGTTGAGGCCTTCTCCATTGTCGTCTTTCTCATTAACTGACTCCTGTCACCATCTTTTTCTAGCAACACACCTTATGAGCTCCTGTTTGGTAAGAAATCCGATTACTCCATGCTTCGTACTTTTGGGTGTCTTTGCTTCCCTTATTTGAGAGATTACTCACCTCATAAATTGTCTCCAAAATCTGTTCATTGTGTCTTTTTAGGTTATAGTACCCTTCATAAAGGATTTCGGTGCTTAGACTGTAAGACACATTGTGTTTATGTTTCTCGACATGTGCAGTTTCATGAACATAACTTCCCTATAATGGTGATTCTGTGCAAAATTTGTCATCTAACATTGACTATATTAATTTTTTTGAGTGTTAGGAATGTGTTTCTAGTTCTTCTAACATTAGTTCTTCACCATCTTTTTCGAATTCATCGTGTCTGCCTTGTAGTGATATTCCACACCTATCATCACCTTCTTCTCCAAGTCCACAAGTTCCTGTCAATAAGGAATCTCCTTTGGATTTTGTTGCTCTAGATTCTACCATTCCTTCCCTCGTTTCGTCCTCTCCTCGTGTGACCACTTCCAGCTATCCGATAATTACTAGAGGAAAAGCTGGTATATTCAAACCACGATTGTATCATGCTATGAATATCTCATCTTCTTCTTAGTTGTTTCAGGCTCTTCTTGCTCTCAAAGAGCCACAGGGCTTCAAGTCTGCTGTCGAACACCCTGAACGGCTCTCGGCTATGGATGATGAAATTCACACACTGAAGAAAAATGATACATGGGTTCTTGTACCTCGTCCTCAGCATCATAATGTGGTTGGTTGTCGCTGGATTTTCAAAACAAAGCTTTACTCTGATGGGTCTATTGAGCGTCATAAGACACGACTTGTGGTTCAAGGATTTTCTTAGATTTGTGGGACTTTGGTGACACTTTTAGCCTTATGGTGCATCCTGCTATAGTCAGAATTATTTTATCCTTGGTTGTTACATTTGGATGGCGCTTACATCAACTAGATGTTAAAAACGTCTTTCTTCATGGCTTTCTCAACAAAGAGGTGTACATGGAACAACTACCTAGCTACACTGATCCACAGTTTTCTCAGCATGTTGGTTGCCTAAAATGTGCTATTTATGGCCTGAAACAAGCTCCTTGAGCTTGGTTTCATCGTTTTAGCTCTTTTTTGCTCAAACTTGGCTTTCACTCTAGTCAGGCTGATTCTTCGTTGTTTGTCTATCACTCCTCGCTTGGCACTGTTCACTTACTTCTTTATGTTAATGACATGGTCATCACTGGAAGTACTCCTTCTCTAGTTTACACCTTTATTACTTGGCTTTCCAATGAATTCTCCATGATGGATTTGGGTGTTCTTCATTATTTTCTCGGAGTTGAAGTCAAAGCTAGTGAGAAGGGTCTCTTTTTCAGTCAAACAAAGTATGCTCTTGATCTCTTGCAACGTGCTTCAATGATTGATGCCAAGCCTATTTCTACACCTTTTGTTGTTGGTCAGCATCTATCAGCCAAAGGGACGCTATTCTCTGACCCTACTTTGTTTCGTTCTCTTGCCAGTGCTCTTTAATACCTGACTATCACCAGGTCTAATCTATCCTTCAGTGTCAATTCCATTTGCCAGTACATCATGCTCCCACCAAGGACCATTTTCGTGCTCTCAAGCATATTTTGTGCTATGTTAAAGGCACTGCTCATCATGGTCTTCAACTTCATAAACAGTCCACTCGTGATCATCTTGACTATTCTGATGCGGATTGGGTTGGATGTCCTGATACACGTCGTTCTACTATCGGCTATGCTATCTTTTTTGGCGCTAATTTAATCTCTTGGTCTTCTAAGAAACAAAACACTGTCTTCGTTCAAGTGCAGAAGCAGAATATCGCTCCTTAACTATTGCTACTGCTGATATTGCATGGATTATTCAATTGCTTTGGGACCTTTGTGTTACACTTTTAGCGCCATCTAAAATTCTCTGTGACAATCAAAGTGCAATTTTTGTGGTAGTCAATCCGGTTACTAGTCCTTGGTCAAAACATATTGCGATTGACTACCATTTTGTTCGTGAACTTGTTGATAATGGCACTTTGAAAATCGATTTTGTTCCTTCACACCTGCAGCTCGCTGATTCGCTGACCAAAGGAGTTACCAAGCTGCAATTTTTTCTCTTTCAAAGCAAGCTTAGTGTTACCCCTTCTGCCACGCTCACCTTGCAAGGGTTGATAAGGGAGAATCAATTTCTCCATGATATGTGCTGCCTTATCTTTCTGTTAGCATAATATTCGATACGTGTTGCTTTCCTTTTCTGTTAAGCATAATATCCGCTTGTATAGCTGTAGGGATAAGCTCATTATTTGTATTTGATTCTTTCCTATTATATAGGAGTTTACAACTGTAATTATCGTGTATATATAATGAAGGGTTATCTCCTCATAATGTAAGGAGGATTTCAGTCATTTACCATGTTTATCAAACATCTTTACTAAGCAAAGCATCCCTTTAATCAGTAGTCATTTACTTTATATTTTATGTGTTTTGACTCAAAATGTTTCTTAATTAAGTAGTAAAGTATGTTTTTCATGACGTTGCAAACAATTTTACTATTTATTCTTTACCCAAATCAACCAATTAAATCAATTTCAAAGGTGCACACTAAATTAAGTAACCACATCAAAGAAAAAATCCTTAAATTAATATAAACTCAATAAAACAATTCTAAATTAAATTAAGATTTGTTGATATCACGTGCGAAACTCTAGAAATCACAAGGGTACTGGCTCGAGTCGAGGCGGCACATTGAAGTTTGTTGATGTCACATGAAATTAAATTAATTTTATTTTAATTTCAAATTTTCTTTTCTTTCCAACTTTGCCCAAAAGAATATAATTTCTTAAGGTATTACATGGGCCATGGGCTACCATGATTTAATGTGCATTTTATAGGCTTCAATGGGCCAAGAGCAGACCAAATTCCTCTGTTGCTTTGTCGTTCAAATGAGATCAAAATATGGTACGAGCCTTTTAGATTTAAAATTAGAAACAAAAACCTGATTCATGAACAATTCATAGTTTGAAGAAAGCCCTTGGGCGTGGACGCTTTGAGGGTTGTTGATATCATATTATTGTTTACTTCTAACAATTTTACAATTAAAGAGTGATGGCGAGAGATTAGCTTTACTAATTTTTCTAGCTTTCTTTTTTTTTTTTTTTTTTTTTTTGAGAAATGTGTTTGGTTGATGTGAAAGTGACAAGGAAATTTAGAGAGTTTAGAGAGATTTACAAAGAAATTTTTTTGGGTAAATATTGGAATGATGGATAAACTCTTATTTCATCAGGGTATTTATTTAATGAAAAAGTGTACTACATATTCGATATGGTATATCGTCCACATATTTATGTCAATAAAATTCTTCCAACACATAAATAATAATCTCAAAACCATAATCATAGTGCTGCTAGATCAAGAAAAACAAAAAAAATTCATTGACTCAATATACTAATGACAATATATTGTAGAGATAATCAAAATATATTTTCTTATATAATCCAAGGAAACCCTTGTTAGCTTCTTAAATCTCATTGATTTGCATTCACATTTTTATTGTATCTATGCTGAATTGGCAGGCCTTTTTCTCTCCCCTGGCTGACGTGGCTGCCTTTATTAATTAATTATTCTTCAAACCCTTCATGGCCTCCTTCTTTGCCTCTATACTTTGGTACGATGGGCCTATTCAAGCTTTTGAGACAATTGTGGGAGCATTTACATCAAGCCCTTTACTTATTTTGTGGCCCAAATTCGGCCCATAGGAAAGCCCACAAAGTGGGATTATTGATTGTAAAATAAATTAGAAATATAATGGTTATTTTGTAAATAAATAGGGTTTATTTAGGTATTTACATATGTTTGAAACTTTTAACGGAGTAAATTTAAAGATGGGGTTTATTAAGATAGATTATGAGGGCCAATAGCAGCACTCATAATTTCATTACAAACAAATAAAAATGCGTACAAGAGCTAATGATCCTAACAAAGTTAAAGAACTCATGGATAGTATTAAGATAGATTATGAGGGCCATATTTAATTTTTTAGTTAATGGATATTAATATGTTGATAATTTGTTACATGTGAAAATGTTTTTGGAAATATTGTTGCCCTTAACCCATGATATTAACGGAGCGAACAATTGCTGCCTACGAATACAATCTTAATGGCCATTAGTATGAAATGGTAATCCTCGATGCCCGCAAGCATTAAAGTTTTGACACAATATATTACGCAAAGATTGCCATGAATATATATGATTATTTATTATAATATCAATACTTAACCTACAGTGTGTCACCCAATAGTGATTTCTCTTCTCAGAATATTTCAACACCCACATCTCCATCTATGCAACCTCAAAAAGATATCGTGGATGACATCAACAGGAATATTAACATAGCACTTTTGTTTTTCCTTTTCGAATACTTACAGAATTGGTGAATTCCATTAAGTTCATAGACTCCATATGAAAAAACCAATCAATTTAAGAATCTTGGAGAAAATATATAATTATCCTATTTCCGGGGATTTTAGAAAAAAAAATTGATTATTTTTCTAAAAAGTCATATAAATTTTAAAATACTATAAATATTATTGCAAATTGGAAAGTCTCTACAAATTTGTACAAGATCATTCAACGCAATTCATGGTTCTCCTGGTTTATTACATTAGTTAAAATGAATAAGCCAATTGAAATACTTAGGAAAAAGATTTAACATATCCATCATTGGTTACAATTTAGTCAAAGGTGACAAGCAAACAAAATTAAAATTCTAAGCTCATCATCATTCTTTTAATTAGGCGAAACATAAACATTGGGAACTCTCTTGAGAAATTTGTAACCATGATTTTCAATGGAGTTGCCAAAGTTTCTAAGACAAACAAGACTCTTTGTATAACTGTAGACTGCCCTCTTATCACATATAATTCCCGCTCTATCATAATTATAATTCTGTTCTAGAATGCGTTGACTAATGTGATGTGTGTGATTCTTCTTAAGATCAATAATATAATGTTCATGGAGACGAGTATCAAAAAATAAACCTCCATAACCCCAAACACCAAAGACTTCAAGTAAACACCAAAAATATTGTCGTGAAACTACATCTTTAAATGTTACACTACCGATACTTAATTTGAATTCTTTTACCCAATAGTAATCTTCCTTATCATCATAATCTTTCAACACCCATATCTCCATCTGTGCATAAAATCGAATATCAACAATAGCTAGGGATCCCTTTATATTAATTAAGGAAAATCTTATATCAGAAGCGAACACACCATCCTCAAAATTCGGATGACAAGTCCACTTAAATTCCTCTTTTTTGAAATCGAAAGATGCTATCATCCTCTCGTATTGTTTAGTTTTTTCATAAAAAGGATGCATCCAATGCATATCTCCATATGCAGTCACACCAAATAAATTTAGTTTACAGGATGGGTTTGAGGAGATTCGTCGCCATGAATTTGTGCCCAAAGTGTAAACTTCAGTCTCATATTGATGTGTATAAAACACCCGAACAACCTTGTATGTGTTTATTGTATAATCAAATCCCATCCCATACCTCATTGACAACCTCCACATCCTAATAGTAGGCTTTGGTAGCTCCAAAACTTCTCTCATGAGAGGATTGAATGAAAAGACTGATTCAAGTTGATAGCATCGTCCATCTCGAATGCATAATAGACCATAAGCAACATGACAAAGTTCATAGTCATGCTTTTCCTCTGAAAACTCCAAAATCAAAGTTTCACTTTTCTTCACTACATAATTAGTGTCATCATATGCAATGGAATGCAATTTCTTCACTGAATTCAAAGCAAGAGGAGTATACAAAATTTAAGGTTCTTCAACACATGCTGATTCGTACATGTTAGCAAACGAAACACTGTCAATGATGTCACAACACTTCTTTGACACACATCGAAAATGCAAAAGTGATTTTGTAGGCAATCTCAGAAAGACATCATGGACTATATCAGCAGGAATATTAATATAGCAACGATGTTTCTTCTTTCCGGAAGTACTTACGTATTTGGTGATTTCCATTAATTTGAGCAGAAAACTACAAACAAGACACATTAAATTCACTCTTACCTCAAAATATAATAAGTCATGCTACATATTATCATGAATGATATTATGAGAAGAGACAATTATATATGAACTTAACAAATGAAGAGAAAATCTTACCGAGCAAGAAAACTCAAGTCTGAATTGACAATGCCTTAAATGAATTTCAATCAGTACTATAGCCCTAAATAAACAAAACCAGTGGTTAATAGATAATTAACAACATAAAAATTAAGCAAAAATTCAATTTTAAAATCAGAGAACTTATAGTAACGATAGTATAAACAATTAGTAATCCGAAAGATGTGTATATATATAAATTAAATCTCCCGAATGAATTGGGTTGTTTATTTGGATTGTGAAGTAGAAGACAATATTGATGAAACCTAAGAAGCATCTTTATAGAGTTCTTTTAGGTTGAATCTTTTTGTGATATTTTCTTGTTGATTTTGACTTCTTTTAAAATCTATATATATAAGGAATATAATTATTATACGTGGCACAAATAATAACAAAGCTGGAGAACCTTGGCTTGATTTATTCTATATATAGTTTGATTCATCTCTTTAGGAAAGAAAGATAATTCATCTAATTAGGTGAATTTTTCTAGGGTTCTCTCTTTATTTAGGAAAATCCAAGAGAACCATTATTATTTCTAATTAAGAATAATATTTAGCCAACAAGTTTAGGAAATTCTAAGAGAATATTATTTCTAATCAATATAATTCTAATTGTGAAAAATATAAGTGAGAGATTAGGTGCGTTTGGTTCAATATTTTTACCCATATTTCTAATCCTATTCCCCAAATATTATTTGACATATTATTCATGAAATATTAGTGTATTTTCTTAACTACTTTTAAACACCTTAAGTTTATTAATTTCACTAAATACCCCCAAAAAAGTTTAAAAATTAGCAAAAATACCCCCACCCACCAATACTTGCTAAAAGCGAGGGTTTCTAATGGTTATAATCAATTGTACGGTGGTTGGTTGGTGTCTTTGTTTTACAATTACAATAATATTATTGCTAGAGGAAGAGCATTAAAGTTGTGTGTCCCATGTTACAATGAGTTTTGGTGTTTACTTGGAGTAGAGCACAATTATGAACGTTAAGAACACACCACCAAGCAAGAATAAAGATATATTCATTTGTTTTTTCTATTTGGGAGAAGGTTTCTTTCTCCCAAAGTACTCTTTAGTTTTTCCTTTTTAATAAAAGTGGTATTCTTAAATAAGGAAATTTGCATATTTGCATGAAATACAAAAAAATTTCTTCTTTTGCCTTAAAGTACAAAGCGCACAAATTATATTGTAAGAGAAAAACGTTTGTACTATTAATGGACAGATTAAAAAAGAGTGCTATTTTTTCACTTAACTTTATTCCCGCTTCTACTATTGAAATCAAGCATTGAACAACAAATTTTTCGGAATTTAACCAAACCTCAACTAAATCCGACCCTCCTTTTTTTTTTTTTTTTTTGGTCGGTTTAAAGAAGTTGCACTATGTAATTATTGGAAGAATGTTAAAACTAAATGGGTGCCACCTCTTTAAAGGGAAGAAGTTATAAAAATTACATAAATCTCATTATTTATGCATATGCTAATTCAAATTTATAATGTCTTCCGAATTGAAATGAATTCTTCCCCATTCCTCATACAAAAGTAAAGCCACTTAGCTTTTATTTCAGCCACGTCAGATTGTAGAAGGAGGTTGTAAAGCTACAGCATCAATACTATACTACTATTTACCCTCCAAAATTTACTTTACATTCAACGGCTGTGATGGCGCAAGTGATTTCATGTTTGATGGCTAACAAAGACCTCTCTCTATCTTTAAAAGCAAGAGAGAGAGTACAAAGAGAGGCTGAAATTGAAAGATGGCAAACTTTATTCTGCAACTACCAAACAACTTGAGGAGCTTCTCTGTTTCTGCTTCTTCAAATGGTACTTCTTTTTGTTTTGGCATTTCTAGTGATCTTATGTGTATATGATTTGATGGGTTGGTTGATTTTGGTTAAATTCAGGGAGTCCTCCCAGTAATAGTAATGGTGGTGGTCAAAATGGAGGGCCGGTGATAGTTGAACTGCCTCTGGATAAGATAAAGAGACCCCTTATGCGTACAAGAGCTAATGATCCTAACAAAGTTAAAGAACTCATGGATAGTATTAAAGAAATTGGCCTCCAAGTACCTGTAAGCTCTCTCATTTTTTATGTGATCTCTTGATTTGGTGTTCAAATAAGTTGCTTTGTGTTGAGTGTTAGTTTGTCCGTCCCATGTTTGGTTAGCAAGAAAGTGAAGGGAATGAAGGTAAAGTAAAAGGTTTCGGTGATTCTTGTAGTTTAGAATGAGGGAGATGAAGGCATGATATATAAAGGGGCCACTTGTGCTCAGAAAGAGAAAGGAATTGGACATTTTATAGAAATGGATCCTGAATCCATTACACCATCCTTCTTTTGCAGACAGTGAAATACGAAAGCTTTAATCTATTTAAATGTACTTGAAACACATACTGTAAAACCTAAGAAACACTGAAGAATCAGGAAAACCTTTGACGGGTTCGGATGCTTTTATCATTTTATCTTTTAAATCTCTTGGTAGAAAATGCTCAAAATCAGATTTCTATATTAGTTGACTGATATGCAAAAACTGATGCAGATTGATGTGATCGAGGTTGAAGGAAATTACTATGGTATGTTCACATCTTAATTCTCTGTGATCTTTTCATCTTCACAATGTAAAAGATGAAAGAAGCAAAATGAAGCTCCTCCATAGGCCTTATTTGGCTATGGTTGAATACCAAAGCATTTCATTTTTTATTTTTCGTTTCAGGTTTCTCTGGATGCCACCGGTACNATCATTTTATCTTTTAAATCTCTTGGTAGAAAATGCTCAAAATCAGATTTCTATATTAGTTGACTGATATGCAAAAACTGATGCAGATTGATGTGATCGAGGTTGAAGGAAATTACTATGGTATGTTCACATCTTAATTCTCTGTGATCTTTTCATCTTCACAATGTAAAAGATGAAAGAAGCAAAATGAAGCTCCTCCATAGGCCTTATTTGGCTATGGTTGAATACCAAAGCATTTCATTTTTTATTTTTCGTTTCAGGTTTCTCTGGATGCCACCGGTACGAGGCTCACCAGCGCCTCGGCCTCCCAACAATCCGCTGTAAAGTTCGTCGTGGAACGAAAGAAACTTTGAGGTTTTGCTTTCCTCTAATATTCCTGCATTCTTCTCATTAACACTGACAGACATAATATACTTTTTCCACGTTCATTTTGCAGGCACCATCTTCGTTAAGTTCTATCAATTTGCTTCTCCAGGGTGAAATTCAAGTAAAGTTATCCTTTATACACTATATTTGTACGCAGGTTTTCAAACATAGTATTTGTAATATACAAATATTTTACTATTAATCAATGCGCTTTCCATGGCTTGAGAATACGATTATATATGCTGTTCCTAATGTATATTCAATTATATATATTTGGTCAATTTGCATTTGGACGGGCAAACCGAGTACCAACTACCAAGGACTATAAAAAATGGCACACTTCAGATGAACAACCTAAACACAAGATGACATAGGGCATTAACTTACATTAACAAAACTGTTACAAAGAGGAAGTCGTGCAGTAAATCTACATACTTTTTTGCAAAATTTGTATGAACAAATCTTCGTGTAATTAGTAATTACATATGCTATTCAAATAACCATCACTGACATGAGACGTAGATAATTTACCATTCATTTCCTTTCGGTGCCCATCATCATTTTCTACTTGTATGATATAGGACCAGACCTTGATACTGCAAACCTTGGCAGAGGACTGGGGCCTGTGCTCCCAGAAGTTGAGCCTTCGACGAACTTAACTTTACTCCGGCTTGAACTGTAATCAAGTGGCCCAGAGCGACGCACATTCACTTTACTCTGGCTTGAACTGTAATCAAGTGGTCCAGAGCGACGCACATTCCGGTGTCTACCTTCACTACTCTTTATGCTTCCACTACTGGGATCATAGAAGTGTTCCTGGCTATGGGATGATGATCCTCTGAAGTAGCCAGAATCATTAGAACTATACTGCGGAGTTGAATCGCCACGAGGCTGCCTTGTTATGGGAGAGGCATGATGTGATAATGATACAGTAGATGAATGGCGGGGTGATAAGCTTAGTAATGCCAGCGGTATGGATGGGGAATTCATATAATACTGACTGTATATCGATCGGAGAATGGCATAAGGAACGTGGGGTTCAAGAGAACTTCTGGGAAGGAATGGTGATATCTCACAAAGTTGGTCGAGAAATATGAGCTTGGCTACCATATGAGATCTGTTGAACAAAGGGGCTTATCATCAACATCCATAACATTAGTAAGAGCTATAAATCTTCAATCAGAAAATTGAACAAATGAACATCCTTGAATGATCATTTGTAGCTCAAGAAATAGTTATATCTTTAAAACAAGAAGAATGAGAAGCTATCCTCTCACCTGTTAGCTTCACTCCACGAATCTAGTATTATTCCTGCAGAGAATTTGACAAAAACCTGCATTGCAGACTTGATGCTTGCTTCCACCGAAACATGGCTTTGCATTTCAGGATCCAAAGTCTCACCAGCATGGCCATTTGAGAGAGCCTGTCTCTGGTGATATTCCCGTTCCAATCTGACATGCTCACGTCCTGCAATCACAGCATGAATGCACCTGCCAGCAATAATCATCACAGAATTAAATAAATGTTAAGTTAGGTAGATTCAAGCAAGAATCATAATGATTAACAGCATGAGATAGTACTTCAGTGGATGAATCATTGAAAGCTTTAACAAGTAAAAAACTTCAAAATAATTAGACCACTTCTTTAAGATGGAAATTGCAGTGGATTTGTTGGAAACAATTTGAAAATCCACCTTGCCAGACAATGGATATTGTTGTTGAAACCTCCAGTGTCAACATTGAACCCAGTGGTGTTCCAAATATTGGAGGTCATGAAGCTTGCAAATAAGGAAGGCAACAAACTCCATGAATCATCGTGTGCACCTCCAACCTCCTCCAATATTGATCTTACCCACTCAGAATCATGATCAGCAACCACACCAACACTGTTTGCCAACCCCTTCAGCCTCCTGATTTCCTTCTTTTCAGGTAGTTCTTCAGGTATATGCTTAACTACCCCAGCAAGTAAAGAGTATATCAATGGTGCACCTTCTTCAAGGACGGTTCCAGCAGCTTCAGCTAGAAGGTTATCAAAAGCTAGTGCTTGCCCTGCCTCGACGCAAAATCCAATTAGCGTGTCCAAATCCACTATCTGCTTCAAAGAGGCCTCTCTTTCTATTCGGTCACCATTTTGCATGCTGACAGCAACTGCCTCCAACAGCTCACGGTTTGAACGCAATGATGTGTCAATGCAGTTCAAAAGAGCAGCCGTATGATCTTTCATCATTCTGTCCAGCCTATCCACCCCATAACCACCAAAGAGTCGAATGAAGGCTTGCAATTCTCTGAGATCAGTGACTGACTCAGCAAAATATCCACCAACAGGCCTTGTGCTTTTGAAGCATTTGTGCATTGGTGTAAACAGGATTCCAGCACCAGATACATCCTTGACAATATTGTCTATGTACCAGTTGCATACAATTTCAGTTGCTGATCCAGTGAGTTGCTCTGCTGGTTTATCAAACACGTGAAGAGAAGAAACTGGTCCTGTGAAGGCCTCAGTGAGTAAGACTTCTCGAATACCCTGGGTTAAGTCCATGCTAATATGCTGCTCTGCCAGGTGGACAATGCTCATGTGTCTGCGAATCATCGATTCCAAAATGGAAGGCCGTTGAAGATCATTATCAGTTTTTAGTACAGCAAGTAATCTCCTCTTGAAATTCCCAAGGATGCATTCCCTCATGTACTGCGCCAACATGATCCATCGTATCAAGAGACCAAGCAAAATAAACTTAAGCCAGATAGCATAAACAACACTAGAAAAGGAAAAGGAAATTCTCTTTGTTTCTGATCACTTGAGTACATTAAAGAAAGCCTACTTTGAGGCACAAAATTGGCTGCAAACCAAGGTAGTTAAATCCCAAAAGAAATTAACTTTTCAATCCTAATTGAGGAAGATTCGATCCCAATTAGCTCTTAGATATCAATCAAAGAATGTATATCAATCTTAAAAAACAAGTGACTGAAAACTACTAGTAGTTAGACAAAAAATAGAATAACTATTAACGAACACGTAATTGAAGGGCAAAAGCACACTCTAATTAACAAGAGAAAAAGGAATAATCAACCTGTTGATATTAATTGACAATATTTACACTATGATGATCTTAAAATTCACAGTGAAATAAAAACAGGAACAATGGCAAGTTAACCTGCAAACAGAACACAATTGGTTCCTTTTAAGTGTTGGAAAAAGTTGACTAGCACTGTTATGATTCATGATGCCTAAATGACAGACTATATTAGAGTAGACAGGAAGTTCATTAGCAAAAGAAATGAACAGTGAGAAACAAAAACATAGTCATTAAAGAAGAGGGAAGGAAAACATGAGTAGGCATCCAATAAAGCAAGCAAAAAGAAAACGAAAAGTAAAGAAGGAAATTAGAGTAATCTAATCAACTATAATGTTCCTTAGTCAGATTCTACTAACACGAGAAAGAGTGGACCACTGTGGGAAGAACACCTTACCTCCCTTAGGACAAACACGTGGTTAAGAACACATATAGGCTCCATATCATTCAACACTGAGCATAAGTTGGTCAATCTCTGCATTGCAGCTTCTAACCTGCCACAATAAAGTAAGATTAGATTTCATCAACTGTGAACATTGCAGGTTTTCTCAAGAAACAAGAAAAGATCCTTGCTGTTAATAGAAGTGCCTTACATTTTAATAGAATTATTATTTTCAGGATAGCTCTCATGGCCAGGCAACAGATATCCAGCTGCCATTTTTGGAGATTTTGCTGAAGGAATTGAAACTCTTGATGCATTATTCAAATAAAATGCTGCCTGCTCTGGAAGAAGCTGAGATTTCTTTCAAAGTTAGTTTTATGGAACATATTACCATCAAACAAGTTCTTACACTAAATAACATAAGAATAAGACCTTATCGGAGGGAAAAAATATTAAAATACGAACCTGAATCTCTAAAGCACCAAATCCTCCTTCAGAATCAAGAATGTTGATCAGCCCCTCCAATCCTCCCATGATGGATTCTATAAGAGACTCAACATATAGGACTGCATCCCGCCCAATTTTAGTAACCTGTTTGCAGTATCATATAAGGAAAATTTCTAACCACTTCTTTTTTTTACATGGCAAGAGAGATGGATATTCAAAGCATGTGATTTTATATTTTTCAGTTAATAGAGGTGTATTTGATTTATACATTAGCAGTAACAATAATTAGAGTAATGACAACCTTTTTTATAGCTGCATTTGATTGGTTTATGAGAATGAAATAAAACAAATAAATAAATAGAAAGAAAAAAAAGCTTTTTTGCACTTTGGCCTTTTATGTGAAGTATGTGCCATTTGTGCCTACCCTGAACTTAGAAAGTATGTTTTTTACCCTCTTCAGTTGCATTAAAGCTTTGTTAGGTGAACTTGTTACATTGATCCCACACAGCTCTAGAAGCATTAACCAATGCAGTTTTACCATGCAGTTTTACCACACAGCTCTAGAAGCATTAAACCCTTTTGGTTTTCAGCATGCAAAAGTATGAAAATAGGAGAATAAAAGGGGGTTTGGGTCAGAGAAGTGGTCTTGGTTTTTGGTGGTGGGAAAGTGGAGCTTTGGACTACCTCTTCAGGAACAATTGGAGAAGCACACTCTGGAAAACTACTTGCCACACCAAGCCATGCACAGCAATGCTGAGGACGTCCTTCTGGACCAAACATAGTGTTCCTGAAAACCTGTAGTAACAGTCAGTCACGCAAAAATTACCTTTTAGAGAATTGAAGACAAAATGCAAGCAGGGTTAATATCACTTTGCAGTTAAATAATCCCCAGGAAAATAGTTGTGGAGAAACGAAGCAATAAAATACCGCTGTAAGGTGTTGGTGGTAGAAATACAGCTTTCTGAGACTTCCATGCTTTGATAACTGAGACTCCAGTTCATCCACACATCTACATGAAATAGATTCAAACACATTATACTGTTTCTTTCACATCTCTGGGTGCTTGTCTGTGTACACACATGCACTTCTATGATTTCTTTTATCGAATGTTGAAGCTGACATGCATTATTGAAAGGAAACACACAATAGGCATTACAAGTTACTGCAATAATAATCACAGTATAAATCAAAGTTGGAAGGACCTGGACCAATTGTATGCCGCATTTCCTTCAGATAGTAATCCTTCCTTTCCTGTGGAGACAGTAGCTTTCTCCAAATGTCTTATGTTAATAGATGACCGAGCAGATGTGACAATCGTCAATATTGATAACCAATCCTTACGAAAGTCCTAATTGAGAACCAGAAATGACTCGTATCAAATAATGTAATTTTAAAGAAATAATCCACTTTAGTGGTCTTGAATTGGAGATAAAATTGATGAAGTGGTCTTGTATTAGAATCCTCATATCGCATTAATTTACATATAATAATTGGTGTTTGTACTTATGTTTATATTTGTGGTGGTTATGTTTGGTCTACAGCAAATGCATGGGAGGGCATGTGTTAGAGCTTAAATACTATAGTTAGGCCCTTACCTATCAACTTAACAATCAGGTTTCAGTAACCCATAGGGTTTTGGAACTTAACAAACCCTTAAATTTTGATGAGCGAACATGTAATAATGGCATCAATTAGGTAAAACACAAATAAGTGAAAACACTAGCATTAAAATGTATATATACACAAAGATATGAACAGCAACAAACATGCCAATGCACAAAAAGGCACATATGAAAATTAACAAAAACCTCAAAAGGGTTCAGTTTTCATCAAAAATTTCCCCTGGGGTTCTTGATTAATTGTACTACTAACATTATAGCTAGAAATGTCATTGCAACATTAGCTTCACAGGTACGCACACATGCATCAGTGCACACACAAAATAAACAAATGCTAACCTATACATGTATCTAACAACAACTCACTGACTTTCCCCATTGTTTCTTGTATGTCATTATCTTCTAAGTGTTAGTACTAGTAACGCTCACAATTTAACTTTAGCATTGCAAAACCACTGTTTTAATTTTTTAGTACACAACACCAAACAGATTATTCAATCAAAAGATGAGAAAATATTCATTCAACAGGGATTCTAAATGCTGACAACTCATGCAAGTCAATAATATTTCAGAAGTCACCATGGAGGCCCTAAACAAGTAAAATGTGTTTTGCAAAGATTCTTACAGATAGATCGCATGTGATGGCAGATACATTTTCACCCTGTAGTTTTGGTATGTGGTCAAGTTTCTGAACTATCTGCTGAAAAAGTCTTTTCAAAGTTGAGTCAAGGTCAAGGGCCACCATTCCAGGAGTTCCAAGTAAAAACCGGATTCTACCAGCACAGGAAGAGAGATATGATAATGCATAACCTCGAATTGCTGCATTTACAAATTAATAATTTAAAACCTAACTCATCCATAATACTGAGAAATCTTCCATTGCACTAACAGAACAGAAAGATAAATGCATTATCTTAGCTTATCACCAACAACTAAGATAACATGAGTTTGAATGTCAACTGTATATAGACACCAAGCCCAAGGAGTCAAAAAACTTTAAAACTAGCCAGAAAATGAAAGATGAATTTGTCCATGGTTATAAATTCCTCAAAGTTCTGGTCTTACAGCCCCTACCTATATGTTCAACACCCTCAAAAGCTCTACAGTTCCTCCCTCACAAAAAATTTAATAACAGGCAAAAAGGAACCAGCCTAGAAGACCTCCATCAATTCCTCCCAGACTCCCCCCTTATATATTCTCTTAAGCAGCCCTCCCCATCTAAAAAGGATGAAGAAGCATCACTGACACCCCACTAGGCACCTAGAATGCAGAAATAAACAATCAACAGTTCTCTGTCCATTTGACACATGTGGCATCAATTAACCCAAAATTGCCAGCAAAGGCAAAGCAATTGTCTATCCTCAATAAATAAAGTGAAATATTTGACTGCACATTCATAGATTTGGATAATGCCAATTAACCCAAAATTGCCAGTAAAGGCAAAGCAATTGTCTATCCTCAATAAATAAAGTGAACTATTTGACTGCACATTCATAGATTTGGATATTATTTGGATAGGCCAAGTGCTTTAAAGTCACAATTCCTTAGATGGAAATCAAAATCACACTTCACAACTGCAAATAAATTTATATAATAATAAACTCAATTAACCTGCAATATACTTGCGCACTAGACAGCACAGGCGATCCATTCCATCTAACAAGAATCCAATAGTTGGATCATTTAGATCCTGCAAGCAAAATCACACCAATTCAAAATTAGCACTTGACTCACTGGTAGGCCCATTTCATGTTAATCGATTCAACTAATTCAAGAGAGAAACTCGACTTACTATGTCCACTGGTACAATTCGAGCAGTTTTAGATTTTGATGTTGCAACTCCAACATGTTGAAAGTACCAGATCACCTCACATTGAGCTAGAGCCAAAGCAGAAAATACCATCTGCAGGAAAACACTAAATCATAAGAAAAGACATTGCTGCACCAAGTATTACCCTATTCATGCAAATTAGGTTTCTATTTAATTTTAAAATGTTAAGAAAAATCCTGTTTAAAAAGTAAGAAATTACAACATATAAAGTCTAATTTATTTTGTACAAAAACATAATATAAGTAGACATCTACTTTCAACTGAAGCAGTTCCCTAACAACTTTATGAAGTTTGCAGTAACATCCTAAGCTTCTGTTACTATTCTGCTAACAGTGACAACTCCAAAGATCCATTCCTCCCTCCTGATTCTCAAAAAATCCTAGCAGACAGGTCAAGAATAAAAAATTCTGCTTCTTAATCAAGAATTTCAATTTAGCCTGAAAAAAAACATATTAGACATCCAAGCATATACGTAAATGATAAATATGACAGAAGATGCATTTTTTATTTAAAATAGCACTCATATCTTTTTTTTCCTTTTTCATGCCTTGTTTACAGCACATTTGAAGAAGTCTGTAGAAATTCTAATAACAGTCTTACCTGGATGTTTGGAGCCAATAAACTTGGCTGATCAGTGAAAAAGATTACCATCCTTCCAATTTCTTGCTTTAATAATATTCTCCTCTCCCGGTGTATCACATCACATGATAAAATTGCTTGCTCATGAACCTCACTGCAATCAACAACTTTACCATCTCATACTCAATTCTGACTTGCGTCAGAAAAATTAGAAAGTACTCAACATACCAACTTAACCAACTCTTTGCTTTTGAAAGTTATAATATACCTTAGCATCTTCTCAACCTGCTTTGCCACACTATATTCCAAATCTGCTTCCTTTTGCTTAGTACGTCCAGATTTTGCCATCTTTTTCGATTCTAATATTCGCGGCAAAACATATAACTGATAATCCTCATGCAATGGTACATACTGCATTTAACAATAGCAACAGTATAAGCCACCACAAAAGAAGAATTTAGAAATGCAAAATAAAATTCACATCATATCTGAAGCTCACCTCATCTCTAAACAGTGGAAGAACTAAATTTTCCTTCAGTACAACCTAACAACCATAAAGAACGGAGTAAGTCAGAGACGAAACCCAACAAAATAAAATCTCATAAGCATCATGTCTAAGCAAAGTATGGTCGAGAAAACGACTCTGTCAAAGAGAAATAAATAACAATTACATAATATTCCCAATTTAGCCTTAACACGACAACATCGAATGTCATCCCAAGTCATTTGTGACTAAGACAAATGGCTACTACTTTTAAAGGTTTTCAAGATATGAGAAACAGAAACAGACAGAGTTAACAATGGGCATAAATAGGATTATGAAACTCAAAAGAAGAAATTACATAAAATTAGCTGTTACCAGAGCAATATCAATGCTAGTAACGCGAAGCAGCTCATCAGGGCAAACAAGATATCCAAGTAATACCCATTCTCGATAAGAAGTAACATTTGCAAGATCTTGGGCTCTCTGCAGGTATAAAACTCAAACTTGGTCAATAATGAACGCCTCCATCAACAAAAAGTTTCAGACTACTACAGCTAAAGAATAGCAGGCTGAAACCAAATAGATATAGTCCATCTAAAAGCCATCCAAATTAATGATAAATACCATGGGGTGAGCACTATTTGTGAGTATGTCTGGGTATCGAGGATGATATGGACTCAGAAATCCCTCATTTCTCAGCTTCCTTGTATCTGTAGATAAGAAAATAATAGGACCAACAGCCTCCAGTACCTGGAAATAAGAAATCAAAATACTCATTGTCAACATACCATTTAAACAGGAAATGACTAGGAATAATTATACAACTCTAATTCTAAGATTCAAATGCGCCACCAAACTTGTCAAAGTAATTGACATTTAAATCATTATTCAAAACCCATAAGACCTGAATAACCAGGCAATCCTATTTAGAAATTGTAACATGAAAACTGGCAGCTACACCTGCACTACAATCATAAGTTCTCGTGAGGCAGTTGTGAACAGCAATACAAACTGAGCTTACTCGCTACAAAAATGCTTATTTACGTACACATATATTTATTGCAAAATTAAATATTAAGATATGGAGAGTGCTCTTTATCATTTATAAATTTTCATCCAACAGTCTACCTTCCCCTTATTATCTGCGGGGATGTAACAGTAGTAAAAGGAAGGGAGGAAGAGAGAGATTTTGATAAAATACAACTTATGAGAGGGTATAACTTTACAAGCAGTGAAGGATAACTCCTCTTCATTTTGTAATTGGCAGCATTTTAAAACATATCTATACTTAATAAATATTTCTTAAATCTAATGGCCAAATACCAGCAATTAAAGAAGTATTAATGAAAATTCAAAGAGACATAATTATTATAATATCCCGCAAAGCAAGATAAAGAACATAATTTACCTCCCCAATACGTGGGCTCACAAAATTTAGGTCTTCTTGTAACCCTTTCAATGGTGGATCATATGAGTCTATAAACATAATCAACCTGAAATTCAAAGAACAATATATACATAATGAGATATGTAATCATGAAAGAATTAGTTTAAGACACTGAAAAAGAAAATATGAAGCAAAAGGGAGGAGAGAAAAAAAACACTCTCCAATTTTAGAAAGGCCGAAGAACTTGATAATTAAACAGGTAGATGAGAAACACATCTTTATTTAGCTTAGCAAGTGAAATCACATGTCAGGCAAATTCACACAGAATCAGGAATAGAATCTATGATTCAGGTTACCACAAAACAACAACGAAATTGTATAATTAAAAGGCAGTAAAAGAGGACATGTCTCAAAGTTCATAATTACTGAAAAATTTGTCCAAATCAAGAAAGATAAGACATCAATCAGAAAGATTTCTTACCGATGATAATAATCAAAGTCTCGTTCATTTCTTGACATGGCATGTAAAAGGTTATACACTTGCAGCATCATTTTCCTTGGCATCTGTCACAAAAGCATTGATTGCATCATATCAGAAAAATTCCAAATACATTTATAGAGATGAAAATAAAAAGATATATGGAAGTTGACTTGCCTTCTCAGAGAAAAGATTAACGCGGACAAAGGAACAAAAGACATCCATAAAAGCATGTAGTATAAGTGAGTTCTGATGAGGCTGCAAAATACTGTGCCAAGTTATTAGAAATATCATAAGAAACACACCTATCGTGTTCATCAACATAACTACAGCACATAAGTTTTGCATACAAAATCATGCTTATCAACAAGGCATGACAAAAACTTATTGCCTTAGTGGCATTGAACTTTTTGTTTCTAGGATCATTATTTGGCACCTCATTTCAACTTGATCCTCAAAAACCAGGTAAGAATCATTTCAACCAAAAAAAAAAAAAAAAAAAAATTGTGTAATAAAAAAAAAGAACCAATTTTTTGAACTTACCAAGAGGGTAATAACAGTACTACTTAGATCCAGTATAAGTCGCAGAGCTTGTTCACGAAATGCCAGCAAGTCAAGAAGCAACTATTTCACACAAAAGAAAGCTATTACCANTCGTGTTCATCAACATAACTACAGCACATAAGTTTTGCATACAAAATCATGCTTATCAACAAGGCATGACAAAAACTTATTGCCTTAGTGGCATTGAACTTTTTGTTTCTAGGATCATTATTTGGCACCTCATTTCAACTTGATCCTCAAAAACCAGGTAAGAATCATTTCAACCAAAAAAAAAAAAAAAAAAAAATTGTGTAATAAAAAAAAAGAATCAATTTTTTGAACTTACCAAGAGGGTAATAACAGTACTACTTAGATCCAGTATAAGTCGCAGAGCTTGTTCACGAAATGCCAGCAAGTCAAGAAGCAACTATTTCACACAAAAGAAAGCTATTACCAGTTAAATGTACAAATAATTGATTTCTGACATTTGGATTTCATTATCTAACATGAATAAAATCTGAGAAGCAGTAGTAGTGATTAAACATGAACTGCCAGACTAACAGCTTCCCAAGGTTAATTTCTGGTTTTCACATGAAATATAGCAATAAAAATTGGAACGAAGCAATTTGGATGACAAATAATCACTGTCTTTCAATTTTATTTTATTTTTAACTTTTGAATGTCTTTGTGTTTATATAAAACGAGCTGGAAAAACTCTTTGCAGAACAATTGATTAAATACCTGAATCCATGGTTCCAAGCTCTGTAAATGAACTTCTGCACTGTCATGCATGGCATCCAAAGCAGCTTTATCCACCTGTATTAAGGGTTGAAAAAAATTAGACAATCACCTAATCCCATATTCTCAAGCAACAAAGAATAAACGACTACAAATTCAAAACAGAAGAATTCCAATCTTACACGTTCAAGTTGCAATTTGCTAAAGTGCTCTGGAAACTTTTTTGATAGTAATAAACATATCCTTGGATGGTTCGGGAACACGCCTGATTTCCAGAATGCTTCAGAAAACACATGACCGACCGGATCTGGATAGTCCAATATTTGATTAAACCGATACATCTTGGCCATTAATCCATCGGCCACTTCAATAAGTTGGACCACCCACTGCATGTTCAAACCCCTGTGTGATCCACCCAAACCACCCTGGCTCTGTCCATCAAGACTCCCATTTCTAGAGGTTCTTGATGACACTGGAGAATTTGTGTCAGGACCTAAGTACTCTGTCCATCTCGATGGACCCTCCCATTCCCTCGACCTCACAGCAGTAGGTGACAATGATGCATCTTGGGCATAAAAATGTTGCCTCGATTTTGCCATGAATAAATGAAATCAATCCTCTCTTAATTTTTTACAATCAGAAGTCGGAGTTACGGTCAAAATCCTGTAAAGCTTAAAAATATTACCCTACACAAGCCCTTTGTACCACATGTCCAGATTTATTCACTACCACATAAGCACAAGAAATTTTCAGCTGTTAGCTACTTGCAGGAATCAGAGAACAGCACAATAAATAAATAAATAAAACAGAATAAAAAACAAAACAAAAAACCTCAAACTACTTTCTCTCCAGCTTTTCAGCTTCTAAGATACATTATCACTCATCTACTGAGTTCTCATTTTACATAAAATAAAATAAAATTTAATTTCATGACTCTCAGCTTTAAAGCCATCAAAATAAACCCCATAAAATATTAACTTCAAAACAAGAATTAATTAGCACTAAAAGCATCCAAAATTAGCAGTAATCCTCGTTAAACACAAAGAAACTGAAAAAATTCAATAAAACTATGCCACATTTCTCATCAACCAACCAGACCACAATCGGTTGAATAGAAAATATCTTAAACATCAGAGCAAATCACTAATAACTTACACATTCATTAATAAATAGATGAAAGCTACAAACTTAGCCTCATTTTCTCATCAACCAAACAGACAATAAACAGTTTAATAAAACAAACCTTAGAATGCACAGAAAATCACGAAAACCAAGAGAGTAAAAAATTTAACAAAACTTTGCCTCATTTACTCATCAGCCAAACAGACTACAAACAATATAATTAAAAAAAAAAAAATTAGAATTCATAGCAATATTACTAAACAAAAAGAAAATAAAAAGAAAAAAAAACTAAAGTTTGCCTCATTTTCTCATCAATCTAACAGACTAAAAACACCTTAATAAATAAATAAATAAAAAAAAAAAAACCCCGTAGTATTCAGAGCAAAATTCAAAACAAAAACTGCCAAAAACATGAACAAACATAGCCTCATTTTCTCATCAACCTAACAGACTACAAACACTTAATCAAATAAATAAAACCGTAGAATTCAGAGCAAATTACAAAGACAAAGCAGTAAAAAAGAAAATAAACAAAACTTTGCCTCATTTTCTAATCAACGAAACACAGAACAAAGTTAAACAAAAATAACAAAGAATTCAGAGCAGAAAAAAAAAAAAAAAAAAACCTAGCCATAAAAAAAAAAATTAGACAAATTAACCTGATTTTCTTGGCAACCAAACAAGCAAGAAACAGTTGAAAAGAGCAAATACCTTAGAATTCACAGGTTGAAGTTGAAGAGAAGAGCGAGCGTGAGTTTATGTGAAAGCATGAAGCTCAGATCTGAGGCCTTTGAAAGTAATAAGTAAGAATCAGGAGGTTTGAGAGAGAGAGACAGAGATGAGAGATTGAGAGTAGTTGGTCTAGTTATTAGTAGAAGCAGAGCTGGATTTTAAGCAAAAGATAATTCTTTATTTATTTATCTTTATATATTTACCAATTACCAAAATAAATTACTCGTTTTTTGTTGTTTTAAACTTTAAATTCGAAACAGACAGAGAGCCGTTATTTCCTTTTTCAATTTTTATTTATTTTTAATCTAATTTCTTACGCACGACGTGGCGACTGGCATACTATATTATACCGTATATAAACTCTTTTATTCATATAATTTTCTTACATAATATATCCATTTAATGAAATTATATTTTGATAAATATTTTTAATTAATTTGTTATTCTCAAAATAAATAAACACATATATTAAACATTATATAATATCCAATCATCTAATAATATTATTGACACCAACTCTTGTTATTATTCATCCTTATTTGCATAAACCTAGGATACCCAAAAATTAATGGTTTAAATATTGGGATATGATATGATATTATGATGTTTGTATCATTGCCCCTTTTAAGAGGTGATTAAGGTTGTAAGATTAATTAATTACCACTTTTCACAAGTTCTTCTCAACATATATTTTTGTTTTAACAAATTTTTTAACGAAGATTATCCTAAATAAAGTTGGATGTCCTAATTAGAGTCTCACTTTATTTATACACATAAGGATATTAATTTGACGTTGAAATGATGTAATATATCGGTTTTATATTTTTTATCATACATGAGAAAATAAAAATGTAAAGAAAATTGGAAGTGTGGTGTGAGTGGAGGGCATGATACAATAGGGCAATCTATAATGGAATAGGCAATTATAATAATAATAAAGTTAAGAGTTGTTAAATAATTAGTGCAAGATTTATATAAGATGTGGTGCGTATAGTAGAAGGGAAATTTTGTGGATTTAGCTTTAGATTATGGAGAGGAGAAACGTGACTTAGAAATGAAGCCTCCATCATTCCAATTTTACTATTTTAGAATTGAGTGTTACAAACAATTATAAATCAAATTGCTAGCCTTCAATTTTATTTTATTTTATTATTTTTTTTAAGTTTAAACATAATTATTTTGTTTCATATAATCAAGTTGGTAGATTGTTATATTGTAAGTTGAATTTATCTCACATCGTCAAATTGGTAAACTATTATGGGGTGTGTATATATGATTCAATTCCCTTCAAATAAGTTTTATCCAGGAAGATTAATAAATATATAAGAAAGGGGTAAAAAATAGTTGTTATTTGTTAAAAATATAAATTTTCCAACAAAGTCAACTGTCATCAAATTTGTGAAAGGAGTTATTGGCCTTTCTGAAATTGATATATAAAAATGTTATTGTTAATGAAGTGGGTAAGTGATGAAGACATATATACATAAATAACATATAATTAAACACCTTTTGATTAATTGATGTAACTAACTCTCCTACTTCTTTCCTTCCTTTTCTTCCAATATCCCTTTCATTCTCATTAAAATCTCACTTTATAAGCAAATTTAACACTTTCTGTATCTGGCTGCAATATCTTCTTTTCTTTTTATCTAGAAGATGTTAGCTCGATAATGTTATCAGACTAGAAATATGAGATGTCTCAGTCGCTTTGAGAGAGCTTGATTTATCGAATAACGTACTAGTTTGATAACGTTACCTGACTATATTCTAGCTCTATTCAAAGACTTGCATTTCTGCAGATGGGACTGAAAATTTTGTGCAAACTCCAGGTTGGCTAAGCAATATTGTTTAACTCAATCAGAATGAGTGTAGATTTGTCTTTTGGCAATCCTTTTAACTGTAGAATTTCTAGTAATGCATCAGCTTTGGAATAATATATGTACAAATATAACACATCTCTGGAATCCTTTACTTCTCTTCTGCCAAAAGGAATACTATTACAAGAATAACACCATGACTAGACAACAAAAATCTGCTCTCCAGGAAATATAGATGAACTATTGACCACTCCAAATATGATTGATTTCTCAGGTTGCATATTTCAACAACCGATTGGAATCAGTAGCAGTTAACTCGCGCATGTATTATTTGTAGTCATCACCAATTCGCTGTAAATTACCCATTGTGGTTGTGTATGGAAAAGGGCACTGCCTGGATGAATATAAACAAATCGATTGCCTTTTTAGGTTCTGTAACCCTCTTTTGGAACCTTTCTTGCAGCCTGGAAAAAAGAATCCGGCTGTAATCGCCTGTTGAATCTTACGGAAATTCTTGCCTGCACTCACAACTTCTACTTCATACTTGTCTATTATGTTCAGAAGCTGTTACCTGATTTCCTTTGCTCTTCTCGTGGATTGAAATTGATTAAAGTTTTTACAACACAAAATGCCTTGAGTAATTTTGCGCTCTCCAGTAGTTGTATACAGCTAGATGAGACAAATGATCTCCCTCCCGCTTCTGAAACTTGGCCTTCTCCTCATCTGCAAGATTCTGCTTATCTCTAGACCTGTTGAAGATATTGCCACCTTGAATCATGGCAATGATGCTCACAATCTCGTCGCTGCTCCCTAGTACCACACTCGAAAGAAGGATTTTTAACAAGGAAGGATCAAGGAGAAACTCCTCCATTTTTCTGCCCAATTCCGTTAGTTGTGCCTCTTCATCCAAAGCCTTTAGACTGCAGAGCTATTCCATGGCGCAAACAAAAGCTTGGGAATCAGGTGGATCCACAAAATTAAATGATACAAAGTCAAGTATTTCCCATAGCTTTCAGTGTAAGGGAGGTGGATCCAAGATTACTTCTTTTGATTTCAGCTATGCAGGTTGGAGGCATTTCATTGAGGTATGCATCTTCAGTGTAGAGGCGATAGCATCTTCCAGGCCCTGTACGACCAGCACGCCCAGCTCGTTGCTTTGCTGATGCTTGCGAAATGGGCATCATGACAAGAGATTCAATCCCTTGCTTCGGATAGTCAAAGAAGCCTCAGCAACATTAGTTACCACAACCACTTTTCTCTTCCCAGGAGGGGTTCATTAGAAAATCCTGGACTGACCTTCAATAGAAAGTGCTCTGTAAACAGGTCTAACGATCAACTCAGGAAGATCTTCAGCTAATCCTTTCATCTTCTCGAAAAGTGATTGGCACGAGAAATCAATCTCCTCTTGACCAGTCAAGAAGAGAAGAATATCACCTTCAGGTTCTCTCAAACGTACCTGAAGAACAGTGAAGATAGTTTCATCTAGATAATCAATTACAGGCTGCTTGGCATAAAAAAAATTCTACAGGAAAACTTCTTCCAGGAACTGTGAAGATGTTACCATTAAAGAAATACCTGGAAGACTTCTCAGCATCCAAGTTGGCAGATGTAACAATCAAATGCTTAGGTAAACCCAAAAGAACATCCGTATGAATAGTCCTCTCATGTGCTTCATCAAGGATTATCACAAAATATTGATAAATAAGAACAATTTAACAACAAATATATATAATTAGGAGTTTCATAACGCTTGAAAGCACTCAACCAGGCTTATATAAGTGAAGCAATAAGGTGGTGGCTAATAAATCCAGATTCGGCGTTCGATTTTACATTGTTGTAGTTTTCATGTATAGAGTGTTCGAGGAAGGAAGTAGAAATGGCCACAAGAATCCACAGATTATTTTAGTTTAAAAAGATTTAGTCATTGTATTGTATCCATTCAACTCTAATTTTACTGAAAATTTTCATTTAAAACAATTTTCATTCAACTCTAATCCTTTTCCAAGAATCCAACAGACTCGTTACAATAGGAATCTGGCTTAAGGTTCATATTCTATAGTGTCATATGTCGAAGCCTTGGAATTCAAGAAGTTAACAGTTTCGAAACCATAAAATTGGAAAAATTTCCTGAAACATATTGTAACTTTTTTGTGAATTTAAGGAAAAAAAATTGTTTGTGTAAACTATATTTACATAAATAAATAAAAAATCAATTCCCAAACAAATGAAAACTCCATCCAACTCTCTGTATGGAAACTAAATGCTCCCCTCCATTCTACAGCTTAAACTCAAAAATCTTCTTTCACAGTTAATCACTTCTAAGGTCCACACACAAGCAACTTAAATGCAGAAGCACTCTTTCCAGCCAATGCAAAGACATGGCTCCGTTAATTCATTGTAACGATCTTGGCTTTGAACTGGGCTTTCTGACTTATCCGTTTCTTCTTTCCCTAAGGACTAATCCCTGGAACATGAGGAACAGGTGGCTTTGGCTTCTTTGTTTTCTCTACCAACACAGCTTGAGTTGTAAGGACTACTGATGCGATGGAAACTGCATTTTGAAGTGCACATCTTGAAACCCGACAAGGATCTACTACTCCGGCATCCAGAAGATCTTCATATCTTCCTGTCATTGCATTGTACCCAATTCGCCAATCACAAGTTCGAGTCTTCTCCACAACAATTGTTCCATCAACTCCTGCATTAGTTGCGATTGACATTGCAGGTACAATAAGTGCCTGCAAATCATCATTGACAAACTTTTGTGAAAAAGGATTTGCCTTCAACAATAAGGTCTAAAAAACAGGGTTTTCTTGTTTTAGTAAATAATAAACCGTTTTAGTCATCAAGGAACTACTACAATAACCAATTATGATCAACAAAACAATATTAATAACTTTGTTTCAAGAAAGGAAAGACCTCATATGGGGATCTGATTTGTTTGATATTTGCTTGTATAAAATAGTGAAGAAAATGTCTACTAAGAAATGTGAAATCCACTTAACAGCACACCTTTGCTACAACATCAGCACCAATCTGTTCATCTGGATCTTCCATAGAATTTTTTATCATAGGAATCTGGTTGGATAAATGTACATATGTCGCACCACCACCAGGCACTATGCCTTCATCCATGGCAGCAAATGTTGCATTCTTTGCATCCTCAATTCTGAGTTTTCGATCTTCAAGTTCCACCTCAGTGTGTGCTCCTACCTGGTTTAAATTACACATTGCTCAATTAAGAAGGTAGACAAAGAAACAAGACACAGAAGGTTGGTTTTTGAACCCTTTCAGAATTCCAACATGTGAGACATAAGAAAGAAAACCTTGAGTAATTTGGACAATGCTTTGATGGTTTAAATAAGAATGAATTAGAATCTTATTCACAGTTGTTAACAGGCCCTTTAAGGATGGCCAATGTATCAAGTAAAATTCCTAATAGCTCCAAAAATAGCAATGCATAGATCTTTTTTGGCACAAAGGTTTTGAATTAGAGGCATCTAAATGATGCATAGATTTGATAAGAAGATGTCAATTCAATTTTTTTATTATATTCCAGACCTTAATTACAGCCACACCTCCAGAGAGCTTAGCGATTCTTTCTGAGAGCTTTCTTGACAGATATGAACTATCTGTTTCAGCTAGGTCCTTCTTTATCTGCAAAATTCTTGCCTGAATTTCAGCTTTTGTAGAATGGTCAGCTACAATGGTTGTTGAATTACTTGTTATGGTTACTTTTCTTGCAATGCCAAGCTGATCAGAGGTTGCACCTTCAAGGGTCAGGCCCAAATCTCCAGAAAGAAAATCGGCACCTGATCATACAAAAATGATTCCTATCAGAAAACATAGAAGAATTTGGTCCGTTATGAGGAAGAACAGTTTGTATGACAATGCAATAACATATCATACATTCTTATTGAGCATACAAGAAAGTAATGCTCAATTTGCAGAAAGAAGAAAACAAGAAAGCTTAAATTACACCACTGCATATTAGTGTGATGGAACGGCTTCTATTGTGCCATTTTATCACATTCCAAACACATGAAAGGAAACCATTTTAAGTTGGAAACTTAGAATGCCATATGTAAATTCACCTGTCATAAGGGCAATATCTTGCAACAGAGCTTTCTTTCCCTCTCCAAATCCTGGACATTTGACTACAGCAACATTAAGTAAACCTCGCATTTTGTTCACCACTAGTGTTTCCAGCACTTGCCTTGAGATATCTTCAGCAATGATTAGAAGTGGGACACTCAATTGGGTGGTCTTTTCTAGTAAAGGAACTATTTCTTTCACAGTTGAAATTTTTTGATCAGTTATCAGGACTTTAGCATTGTCAAACTCCACAAGAGATTTATCCTGGTTTGTGATGAAATGGGGTGACATATAACCCTTATCAATCTGTAGACAAGAAAAACCTTGATTCAATTTATAGAACACATAAGAATACACAAAAGTTTAGACAAGCATAGTAATAAGGTATTATCTGACATTAATGCAAATATGCAAAACCACAGTTCAAGCATCTCAGTGGAGCTGGAAGATCCTAACCGTTCAGAGTATTGGTAAAACTTTCTACTGGGTTTTGTTAGAAGTTAAAAAAAAAATAGTTTAAGGATAAGTAAAAATGTAAAATAAAAGATTGTCCACATTAGGTTAGCAACAGTCACACAGATCATCCTCACAATCTTTATTAACAAAACTAAATAAATCATATTACGTTCCAATTTCAACAAAATGCCAACCAATACTATTCTTACAATAAAAATATTCCATTCTTCTAATATTGAACTACATTTTGGTTGTTAAAAAAAATAAATAAATAAATAAACAAGAAATGAAATTTTATCTAAAAGTTTTAGAAAAGTTTCCGGCATGGACTGTGACAGAAGTTGATAGATCAACCAAGTCATGCCCTTATTCCCCACAGAGCAGTAATTTATAATAATTTATATCAAAGAATCCAGATCAGAAAAATCTGATTCACCTTCATTCCTTCTTCAACTATCACTGAGGTCTCAAATGTCGAGGATGATTCCATAGAAATCACTCCGTCAGGGCCAATCTTCTCTATAGCTTCAGCAATCAAGTTACCAACAAACTCATCATTTCCAGCAGAGATTGAAGCAACAGCTGCAAAAATGAAGACTTTCAATTTTCAATATTTTCATTCTTAATCAGAAACAACTTTTTAATCAAAATATGGACAAGGCTAAGAAAGAACCTTTTATATCATCCCTTCCTTTTACAGGAAAACTTTTATTCTTCAAAACCTTGACCAATTCTTTAACAGTCTTATCCATTCCTTTCTTCATAGAAATGGGGTTAGCTCCAAAAGAAACTGCCAACAACCCAGATTTGATCATTTCTCGAGCCACTATTACTGCAGTTGTGGTACCATCACCAGCCAAATCATTCGTTTTACTTGCAACCTGCAAGTAGGGTACTCAACATTCACACCTTACAAATATTTATGCCCTATAAAATTCAGTAAGAGCTTAGGGGATAGAATTATTTAGCAACCATGAATAACCTCTTGCATTAGCATTGCTCCAGCATTCTCGATTGTATCTGAAAGTTCTATGGCTCGGGCAATTGTAACTCCATCATTAATTACTTTCAGTGCCCCGGACTCAGAAAGTATAACATTTCTTCCTGCATGTTTTATCTTAAACATATTAACAACTTGCATCAAAGAAGAGCTTCCATGTTTATTAATTCTTAAATCTAACTCCTACCCCAAAAAAGAAGCTATTTCAAGTCACTATCATCTATTATTGTAAAGCATATGTCATATTGCAATGTAACAAAGGGCAAACATGCATAGCCTTAAGAAACTTTGTGGAGTTATGCTTCCAGAATTAAGATGCACAAAAGATAAAATTATACATGCACATATCTTATGGCCTACCATTGACTCCGGTGTATTCATACATTTAACCAAATTACACAAACAACAAAGATATGAATTAAAATAATCTGTGCACTTTTATACTTCAAAATAAGAGGCAAATAAACGTAAGCATCTATAAGAAAACTTACTTTCTCTAGATCAGTGAGGACTGCTGACACTTAATGCATACTCTCTAAACAATATAGAAGCGTATTTCTAGAAGGCAAAAGCAAGACGACAGAAATAGTCAAAAGCTCCAAAAGATTTCAACACAAATGATACTTTCCAAACTAGTTTAATGATTTTTGCCAAAAAAGGGGGGGAGGGGGAATCTAGGGAATGATCATATGAATTACAGCGAAAAACATTACTTTCTTAAGATTAATTAATCCCTTCACTTACCAAAGATTGTTCACCTCATTCATATATATAACATAAGCAACCATCCATCAAAAAGCTTCAATATTTATCTCATAGCTTCCACATAATAACTATTTCTTTATCAAAATCCATTTTTTCCTCTTTAAATTGTTTCAAGACCTCTTGTACAACCCCGAGAAACCCAACCAGCTGAACTGACTAGTTCCGCTTTCTAAATTCTTATCCCCAAACTACAAAGGAATTAAAACCCAAAGAGAAAAATGAAAAAGAAAGAAAACTCAGATACCTTTAGGGCCTATAGTGAGAGAAACAGCATCAGCAAGCTTATCAATTCCAGCTTGTAAAGACTCTCTACATTCTTTGCCATACAATATCTTCTTTACCCCAGCTCTCACCACCATTTTCCTCATCATCTTCTGAGACTGGTTCCTCCATAACAATTCACCACTCACGCTCTTCTTGCCATCAAAATTCCTCTGCAACAACACCCGCGTAACACTAAGTTACCATTAAAAAAAAAAAAAAAAAAAACACAAACGAAGAGACAGAGAGATACTTACCCTGAAGAAAGCTATTGAAGGAAAGACTGCTGGCGAATGAAAGGAGAGAGCCATTCGGGCATGTAATTTCTAAAGAGGTTTTTGAGGGGTTTTAGCAGAGCAGACTGTATAGAAGACAATGGGCTATAAATTATTAAAAATTGAAGCTTTCTACAAAAATAGCCCAATAATGGGGTATATGGACAAAAATATTATCGACCACGTGTCGAAAGAAGAGCGTGGTAAAACAGAGATTGTGTACAACCATGGTACACCATATGAAGAATATAAAACTGGCAAACATGAGTCAGCACTCACCAACTTCCATGTTAAGTGGGCTTGTTGACACATTGACCCACTGCCATTTTCATATTAAATTAAAATTATTCTCAATAAATTTACCTAAAATGTGACATAATTTTAAAATTAAATTTCATATTCATTTTCTATAAGATGTTACCAATATAAGGATTTCATATCATATTATGTGACTTCATATCATATGTCATAAAAGAACTTGTCTCTTTATCATTATTCTTGTTCTTCTTTATATGCCAAAATCTATTAAAAGAATTTATAGTTGGAGCAATGGATTTATATGGCTTTAAACAACTTAAAAACTATAGTTTTCTGGCACATGAAATCTATCAACCTTGGCCTAGCTTTATGCATACTAATATTATATATTTGGTTAGGTTATGTATAATAAGTATTATAAAATATTTATTAGTTTTAGATAAATATAAATTTTATAATAATAATAAGAAGTAAATAAATAAAAACAAAAACCCACCAACCCCCCAACATAGTATTATAATAAAGAGAGAGAGTAGGAGTTTCGACTGTGTTTTGAAACCCAAGTGAAGAAAACACACCGCAACAAATGGCTTCTTCAAGGTTGTTGTGGGCTTCATCAAGGGCTGCTTCTTATCTCAGGATCTCTGTCTTCCACAGAGGCTTCTCTTCCAGTAAACCACTCTTCCACTTTTTTTTTCTAATGCAGTGATCATGTCAGGGTGAATATGAGAAAACTGGTTGATCAAATTGGATCTTAGTTATTTTTTTGTTTATATGTTTGATCTGTCGTTCTGTTTGACTAAAGATTTGATTTTTTTTGCAACTGGGTTATGTTTGTTTATGTCGTTGGTGTGATGTGATTCATTCAAGTTTTGTATTTGTCGAATGCTGATGGTTTAGAGGAGGTTGAGTCCGTGCATTCATCTGTTGATTTTCTCTGCTAGGATTTTGTCCTTTCTTTTTTTTTTTGTTTATGGCTGCTGATCTTTTGATGGGTTCCTGATCGTGTGTAATGCACTATGACTTCTCTTTTGTGCTTTCTGAAAGGAAAGGTTTTTTTTTTTTTTTTTTTTTTTTTTTTGTTTTTTTTTTTTTTGGTTGTGAACATGTTTGGTGGCCACCTAAATGGCAATGATTGGTGGTATGGTGGTAGTGTTTTTCTTTTAGGATTTATTGTTTTGGTTGTTAAAATGTTTGGTTTCCAGCTAAATGGCAATGATTGGTGGCATGGTGGTAGTGTTTTTCTTTTGGAGTTATTGTTTTTGGTTGGTAAAATGTTTGGTGGGCACCGAAGTTGCAATGATTGGTGGTAATGGTGATGGACTTAGCCTGCTTATGGTGGAGAGGATGACAGTGGCTATAGGGTTAAGGCATTGTGGTTTGTTGATGTTGAAAATGGCATGATGCTATTGATATGTAATGTATTGGCGTGGCAGTGGGGATAATGTTGTGGTGGCTTATTGGTACAGATAAAGTAAAGTATTTTTCAGAAGTTATTTGATGCTAGGGTGAGGATCAGACCGGAGTATTTTGAGGCTTTTGAATGCTTTCCCATGCTTATCAAACAAAAATATGACAGAAATGGTTTCTAATGAAAAGTTATTGGCATTTCGTCTGTGTATTCTGCTTTAGACTTAGCTGTGTGTGATCCCCACTCAGTAATGATGTTATTTGGGAATATATCTATCTTTATTCTGATAAATTATGTTGGCTTTGTTAAAGAAGATATTCTACTCTATTGATCTTAATTTCCACTGCAATTCAGGAGACCTTTTCTCTGTTGGATATAGCATTTTTTTGCAACTTGGGCTTTCTTTTGCGTCAACTTAGACTTCTCAAATTTTCTTGCCGTCATATTGGATCTAATATATGCTGACACTTAAGTGAATTTTCTTGCAGTTATAAAGGATCTAAAATATGCTGATTCTCATGAATGGGTAAAGGTTGATGGCAATTCTGCCACAGTCGGTATAACAGATCATGCTCAAGATCATTTGGGTGATGTTGTGTATGTTGAATTACCAGAAGTAGGGACTAGTGTATCACAAGGTGGCAGTTTTGGTGCAGTTGAAAGTGTCAAGGCTACGAGTGATATTAATTCTCCTGTTTCTGGAAAAGTGGTTGAGGTGAATGAAGAGCTGAACAGCTCCCCTGGTTTGGTGAGTTTGCTTGGAAAGTGCTACATTACTTTGCATTATTTTCATGCCATTGTCGTTTATTTTGGAATTTGTTGNACCGTTCTGTCTTCGAATCCGATGGTTACGAATAATGTTGAAGTTCCGGTTGCGAACAAAACGACGCCGAGTACGAACTCGAGAGTGGTGGTGGGTCGGCATGGGATCCTGATACGGCCGTGGCCCCACCCTAACCCGACGGAAGTGATGAAAGCGCATAGATTAATCGAGAGAGTGCAGAAAGAGCAGAGAGCTCATTTTGGATTTAAAAATCCGAGAACAGTGATTGCGGTGACTCCTACTTATGTAAGGACATTCCAAACGCTTCATTTGACTGGTGTGATGCACTCGCTCATGCTGGTGCCGTACGATCTGGTGTGGATCGTGGTAGAGGCAGGTGGAGTGACCAACGAAACGGCGTCTTTGATTGCCAAGTCTCAATTGAGGACCGTTCATGTTGGAATTAAGCAAAGAATGCCCAATTCGTGGGAGGAAAGACATAAATTGGAGGCCAAGATGCGGCTCCGCGCTTTGAGGTCAATTCTTAGTACTTTTTGCTTCACATATTGGCTTTGATTCTTGTTAATTCTTGGCTAGTGTTAAATTTAATCATATGCAAAAATTAAACTCAAATAATTGTTGAAATTGAGTGAAAAGAATTAGTTAACGTTGCATTTTATGGTTTTTATGTCGGGTGAGAGCTGTAATTAATAAATGAAAATGGATTCTAGCAGATGGAAATGAATGTTGAGAAATTTAATCAAGATGATTTGTTTCAATATTGCGGTATTTAGTTTGTTTTCTTTTGACTTAGGCAGAGTATTTAGGATGTTATTAGAATGTGAATTAATTTAGTAGGTCTATGATGGAACAGAGTTGTGAGAGAAGAGAAGCTGGATGGGATTGTTATGTTTGCGGATGATAGTAATATGCACAGTATGGAGCTGTTCGATGAAATTCAAAATGTGAAATGGTTTGGTGCTGTTTCGGTTGGAATTCTTGCCCATTCAGAAGATCCAGACGACTCATCACTAACAGCAAAGGAGAAAGAGGATGGTGCAGGGAGCTCACCAGTCCCTGTTCAAGGACCAGCTTGTAACGCATCCAATAAGTTGGTTGGTTGGCACACTTTTAATTCCCTGCCATATGCTGGGAAAAGTGCAACTTACATTGATGATAGGGCAACTGTGCTTCCCAGGAAGCTGGAATGGGCTGGGTTTGTTTTGAGTTCCAGGTTGCTTTGGAAAGAAACCGAAGATAAGCTAGAGTGGGTGAATGATCTGGATTTACTGGATAAGGTTGAGGATATAGAGAGTCCGCTATCGCTGCTGAAGGACCATTCTGTGGTGGAGCCGCTTGGAAGTTGTGGGCGCCAAGTTTTAATTTGGTGGCTTCGTGTTGAAGCTCGTGCTGATAGCAAGTTCCCTCCGAGGTGAGTCCTCAATCTTTTGTTCTTGCTACTGCACTATATGTGCTTCCCAATGATTCTAATAGAAATAAGTGATTATTTTATGTATTTTCATGAATAAGTATTAAAGTCAATGTGGTTTATGCTTAGTGGTGCAAAATCCTTTTAGATGTCCAGTGTTTGTTTTCTTTGATCTTTGATGACCGGGTCTACTAGAAAGTAAACACAGGACATAAAATCAGACTATTCATTGAGCCAAAAATTTTGGTGGACGGGGTGTTAATCAAATTTGGTTTTGGTTATCAAGTAGATCTCAAGTGTTCCTATGTTACAATTTGTGGTAGATTTGTTTACTGAATGGAGCTGATTCTTTGAGTAGAATCTTAATTGTATTGCTCTACAAGGGCTAAGATATAGTGTTCCGATCTGTCATGTTCCATGCTTGTTTGCCACACTCGCCTAACTGTTGGTTTCTTTTGTTAACTTCAATAATAAGAAAAGGTTATTGTATCTTTAGCTGAGGCAGTTGCCATTAGATCCCCTTGTTGCACATGTATGATCTTTACCTCTTATAGAAAGCATTGGGTTTCTCAATTCTTTGCCTTAGGATTAATAAGTTCTATTTCCTTTTCTTGGTGGGGGTAGGGAAGGAATATAACTTAGCCGTAGAGTGTCACCTTGATGTTGTGGAAGTCATCAGTTGATCCTGTTGGGACAATTAGAAGGTCATCCTGAGCCAGACCTTTTATTGGTAGGTAACATCAATGAAGCTAATAACCAATGCTTTACACTCTTAAGTCACATGTCCACATATCTGACGGTATACCCCGATGCCTATTTGAGAACAAGTAGGATGTCTGTTGATTTTTTACTGAATTTCTATCTGCCCGTGATACACTCAATATAGAAATTGCAAAGCTATGATGCTTAAAGACACAAGTTATTTTGTTCATTGAACAGCCAGTTTTTTGTTCTTTGTGGCAAGTTAAATTATGCTATTNTTGTTGAGATATCCTTTTTGTCCTTCGGTGGGGAAGATTTGTCACTATTTTGTGGAGCTTCACCTTATATTATACTTCCAAATTTTAGGTTCTTATAAACTGTTCTCAGTGGTCGGAGCTATCCTTCTGAGAACAACATTTGGCAGAACTTGGAATTAAATGTTAAGAAATTCGTGAACTTGGTATATTTTGCTTAAAAGTTAGTAATTAGCTAAGCACAGTAACAAATTTTTTACATGAATTGTGGGCTTAACCCATCATATAGAACATTACTTCGCCTAGATGGTTTCTCTTTTTCTAATAGTAAGGTAGGCTTCAGGATTATAACACAGTGAGGAAATATATTTTTTCCTAATTTGTTTGATATTGATTATCTGATGACATTTTGATTTAGGTTAACTCAAGCCCATATGATAAAGGATGGATTATTAAGGTGGAGATGAATGATGCTGGTGAATTGAAGAGCTTGATCGATGCAGATCAGTACTCCAAGTTCTGTGAAGAAGAGGACTCGAAGCACTAATTGGACCACCTTGGTTATGTAGGAATGGCTTATATTGTGCTTAGAGTGATCATGCTCTATCAGGGAAGCCAAAAGTGCATATTTCTTTCTTGAGGTTTTCATACAACTATGTTATTTCATGTCTCTTATACTTTCTTATGGGCGACGAATTTGTTGGAATATTTTTCTTTAGATTTAAGGATAATCAATTGAGGTTGGCAAATGATTTTAGCCATTTGCATCAAATTTGAAATTGATAAAGCTTTTGATAAAATTCTGGAATGGTTTAGGAAATGCAGCTTGTACAATCTTTGGTGAGTATCATGAAAGATGATATGACAATGGGAGTACTAACTATTTAATGCTGTTTTGCTTATGGTGAATGAAGCATATATTAGTATGAGTGAACACGTTTCATTTTGACAAACAAAAATTGAAACCTCTTGAGGGAATATGGAGAACTAGGCCGAGGATATTCAGTGCTGGGCCGGTACAACTGAGGCCCGTAAAATATACTGTTGGGCCTGACGGGGTATGGACCCTGATTACTTTACATGGGTTCCAAATTAGAGAACGGTCATATTACATTACAGAGGTAACTTTACCTCTATTACCGTAACGCTAGCCTTGTCTAGTAGGAGACTGCCTTAATCCAAAGGCTATTGTGTTTATAATAATTTGGTTATAAGTTTTGACAAAATGGTAAGCGGTAAACTATTCAAACCATGATAATGTGTATGCTGACATATATGGCTAATCTTTGAACTTATTGTTGTCTCCCTTTATCTTGTTGACTGCAAATACATGCATGAAAAGTATACGAGTTAATATGTTCCAGAAGTAAATTACCATGTGTCAGTTCCGTCGAAATTCAGATTAAGCCTTAAGGGAGGGTGTTAATTTATGTGGCACACGTAAATATTTTGTTGATTGAAGTTTTGACAAAAGGGAAAATCTCTCTCTCTAAAGAACTTTCTCTTCTTCAACGCTGTACATATACGACCCTTAACTCATTAATTACACTCTTACGGTACAAGTAATGCTTAAATGGATCAGATACTTAAGACTTTTTGCTTCAACAATTTCACCTGCCGATCAATAATTCAATTTCTTTCACGTTCACATTCCCTCAAATCTCCTATAAATAGCAGCTCACATGGCCAAATTAAACATATATCACATTACTCGAATCAATCCAGCTACCGCCTATACTTTTTTGCAAAGAGAAACATTGAAAATCAACCATGTCGAGATTGAGCTTGTTATGCCTGGTTTTAGCCATAACATCAACAATGGCTCAGCCATCTGACAATAACACGAGCCCTCCTGTGCTTGACGTTAATGGACAGCCACTCCAGCGTTATTTGGAGTACTTAATACTACCCAATAACAACGCTAGCGGTTTGACTTTAATCAATCGCAACAACTCCTGTCCCTTGTACGTTGGTCAAGAAGACAGCTCAGTCACACAAGGTTTGCCTTTGGTCTTCACACCATTCCAGGCTGAAGAGACTATCATCAGGGAGTCTCGTGACTTCACGGTGGCGTTCCAGGCGTCCACGATTTGTATTCAGTCCACAGCCTGGAGGGTTGGGGAAGAAGATCCTGAGACGAGAAGGAGACTGATTGTTACCGGAGGGGAAGCGGGGTTCTTCAGAATTGACAGAAATGGAACTGCATATAACTTGGCTTGGTGCCCCTCTGAGGCTTGTCCAAATTGCAGGCCTAGGTGTGGATCTGCTGGCATTTTGATTGAGAATGAAAAGAGATTGCTTGCTCTGGATGGCCCTGCAATTCCTGTTGTGTTCAGGAGGGCTGGGACTGCTTAGTTCATTCAATTCTTCCTATATTGTTTAACGAATAATGAGTAATCATTGAGTGGTTACTGTAATATTTAATAAATGGGGATCCCTCCAAGCTGAAAAAATATGTACTTGTATTGTTTAAATTTTATATAGACGTGATTTATCATTCTAATATATTTATAATATGTAAAAAACTTTTAATTCATACTTTTTTTGATAAAAAAGAAGGCATAAATTGTATCCATGCACTCAGAAATATAGACATCCTTATCTCTTCACGTCAATCCCAAGAGCCTCTTATCCATTATTATTCGATCATGGCAGGGGCAAGTCAAAATAGAAAAACTTACAACTCATATTGGGTTTAGGGATAATCTAAATCAAGCTTGAAATGATGCCTTCAACTAGTGGAAAGACTACCATGTTCTGTCCAGGGATGCAATCCGTTATCCGCTGCTCTAAAAGAATATTACATCATAAAATGAATTAATGAATATATGCAAAAACTAAACTCATTTAATCCTTAATATATATAAATGAATAACATTTCAATCAAAGATTAATGCTACATCCATTAGTTTACATATTTAGTCAGTGCATGTAACACTTATTCATATTAAATTGTTCACTGTCTTACACATATGTTTGAGACAGTTATGAGGCAATTGCCTACTCCAACGCCAAACTCAACCCATCAAACAAATACAAATCCATATCCGTCGAAGCAGATTTTGACTCGAGCACAAGACCTAATTCATAGTGTTCACTGTCCTATACATATACACATACGAATTAACTTATTCAAACGTGCAAAGTCATGCGCGGGAGTAACCGTTTGAAACAGTTAGGAGGCAATTGCCTACTCCAACGCCAAACTCAACCCATCAATGAGTTAAAATCATCAACAAATCCAAACCCACACCAAACTCAAGCCACCAATGAGCTAAAATCATCAACAAATACAAATCCATATCCGTCGAAGAAGATTTTGACTCAAAAGCACAAGACCAACGACAAACCAAAACCCGTTGGAGACACAGATATTAAGCAATGGAACATGGTCATAACTAGTCACATGCGTGCCGGCCGATGCGACTCGGCTCTTAGAGTGTTTATCACCATGCCGCGTCGAAGTTCGGTTTCATATAATGCTATGATATGTGGGTATTTGTCAAATGATAGATTTGATCTTGCAAGAGAGTTGTTTGAGAAAATGCCTGAAAGAGACTTGGTTTCTTGGAATGTGATGATCAGTGGGTGTGTGAGGTATAAGAACCTTTGTGCTGCACGGGATTTGTTTGAGAGAATGCCGAAAAGGGATGTTGTTTCTTGGAATTCTATGTTGTCGGGATATGCGCAGAATGGGTATGTTGATGAGGCGAGACGCATTTTTGATAGGATGCCGAAGAAGAATGAGATTTCATGGAATGCGTTGCTTGCTGCGTATGTACAGAATGGGAGAATTGAGGAGGCTTGCTCCTTGTTTGAGTCGAAGGTGGATTGGGAGGCAGTTTCTTGGAATTGTTTGATGGGAGGTTTTGTGAAGAAAAAGAAGTTGGTTGAGGCTTGGTGGCTTTTTGATAGGATGCCAGAGAGAGATAAGGTTTCATGGAATATTATGATTGCGGGTTATGCTCAGAATAATTATCTGGAAGAGGCACAAAGATTGTTTGAGGAGGCTTCAGTGAAGGATGTGTTTACTTGGACGACAATGGTGTCAGGGTATGTGCAAAATGGGATGGTTGATGAAGCAAAGAGAGTTTTTGATGCTATGCCTGAAACTAATGTGATTACATGGAATGCAATGATTGGGGGATATGTGCAAAGTAAGAGAATGGTCATGGCGAGGGAAATGTTTGAGGCCATGACTAACAAGAACGTTGCAACTTGGAATACAATGATCACTGGTTATGCTCAAAGTGGTGAGATAACTCATGCTAGGAATTTGTTTGATAGAATGACTCGGCGTGATTCTATCTCATGGGCTGCTATGATTGCTGGTTATGCTCAGAGTGGCTACAGTGAAGAGGCTTTGCGCCTTTTTGTAGCGATGAAAAGGGATGGTGAAAGATTGAACAGGTCCCCATTTACAAGTGCTTTGAGCACATGTTCGAATATTGCTGCTCTGGAATTGGGAAAGCAGTTACATGGTCAGCTAGTTAAGGTTGGATTTGAGGCTGGTTGCTTTGTGGGGAATGCACTCCTTGTAATGTATTGCAAGTGTGGAAGTGTAGAAGAAGCATATCATGCATTTGAAGAAATATCAGATAAGGATGTTGTCTCATGGAACACAATGATTGCTGGTTATGCTAGACATGGATTTGGAAAAGATGCTCTACTCCTATTTGAGTCAATGAAGACAAGGGGTATCAAACCAGATGACATCACTATGGTAAATTTTGATGTCTTATGCCTCTTAATAATATTGAGGCCTTCTGTTATGAACTTTGGACCCTTTTTTTTCTAATTAATAACATCAGACCTCATGTGAATGGCTAATAAATAGTATATTAATTGCTTTATTGTACCTGTGACTTAATGAAGAGGTTTTTTACTGTCTTCAAATGATATTATTGTTTTTACATATGGATCTTTTTCATATCAAATGGTTCTTAGATTTAGTTTTTTCATTTGTTTTGCAGGTTGGTGTACTTTCTGCCTGCAGTCACACTGGCTTGGTAGAGAGGGGCACAAAATATTTTTACTCCATGAATCAAGATTATGGAATAATAGCAAATTCCAAACACTATACTTGTATGGTTGATCTTCTTGGTCGAGCTGGGCGCCTAGATGAGGCACAAAGCTTAATGAGAAACATGCCTTTTGAACCTGATGCAGCAACATGGGGTGCTTTACTTGGTGCATGCAGAATTCATGGCAACACTGAGTTAGGTGAAAAAGCTGCACAGGTGATTTTTGAAATGGAGCCTGAAAACTCAGGGATGTATGTTCTTCTGTCAAACCTATATGCAGCTTCAGGTAGATGGGGTGATGTTAGTAAGATGAGATTGAAAATGAGAGACAAAGGTGTTAAGAAAGTAACTGGCTTTAGCTGGCTTGAAGTGCAAAATAAGATTCATACATTTTCGGTTGGTGATACTTTGCACCCTGATAGGGATAGAATATACGCTTACTTGGAAGAGTTGGAATTCAAAATGAAGCTTGACGGGTATGTCTACTCTACAAAATTGGTATTGCATGATGTTGGTGAGGAAGAAAAGGAGCATATGCTCAGGTATCATAGTGAAAAGTTAGCTGTAGCATATGGGGTTCTGTCTATACCGCCTGGGAGACCAATACGTGTGATAAAAAACTTGCGTGTATGTGAAGACTGTCACAATGCCATAAAGCACATATCCAAGATTGTGGGAAGGTTAATAATCTTAAGGGATAATAATCGCTTTCACCACTTCAGTGGTGGTTCATGTTCTTGTGGGGATTACTGGTGAGAGTGGAGAGATTACTTTTAGCGGAAAATTCTAAATTGCTGTCATGAAGAATACTCTGGATCTATTAAATCCTTGCAGATGAACGAAATCTACATTCTGACGGGTTGGAATTTTTATTGGCTTGTACAAGGAAATAAAAGAAGTGGACATTTCAGGTTCTGCTGCTCATAAAAGGAAATGATAAAGTTATTCCATTATCTAGGAACATGTTTTCTCTCTGATTGATGAAGATGTATTCTTCACTTAATGAAAAAGACAAACAACTGAAGTACGTTGTTCAAATTAGTTACCCACTCAGAGAAAGAGACAGAGAGCAATATTATTGTCTCAAATAGAATGTTCTTGGTGGAGATTAACTGTGAGCAGTAGATACATCAAAATAATTGCAAATTTAGGCAGCTGAGATGTAATACAGTGGCGGTTTAATGCTCTTCTACTGTTTCATTTTCAGATCAACAAGTGTAAATCTCATCCTCAATAACAGATATTTCTCTGCTTTTTGCCCATCAGTTCAGTTAAGAAAGGGCTGTGTCTTGAATGTACCACATTTGGACCCAAATATCATGAAGGAATTGTACAGAACAAGTTGTTTCCTTAAAACTCACACTTTCTTTGTTCAATTTCCCAGTTGAAATATTTATCTTTCACGAATAAATTGAAGTTCATTTTCATCAAAAGTTCACTTTACCAATGAATGAAGCAACTAAACTAAACTAGAATCTGAGCTATGTGCAACAAGTAATAAATGGTACGAAGCCAACACTTGTACATAGACCCAAAAATATAGTATGAATTAAATTTATGTAGTAAGAAACGATTTTTTTTTTTTTTTTTTTTTAAACAAAAGATTACTTTTAAAACATTCAGGAAGCTTCAGACTCCCTTTTTACTATCAGATTATTTATATAACTTTAAGGGGGTTAAGAGAATATTGGATTACTAGAAAGTTAAATTACCTTAAAGATTACTGGAAATCTTTAGGAAAATGTGTTTGGTTAATTAGTGGGTATGTTATATTAATATGTTTGGTTGAGAGAAATGAATTGGTGGGTATATTATTTAAATTACTGAATTTTTCTCTAATTAAATATTATTAGTATATTATTTTTTAATATTGATTATTATTTGGATTATATAACACCCCTACATTTGAAAACTTAGCAAAAACAACCCCATAATAAAAGTTTAGAAAATCAACAAAGCACCCCCATCAACCTAGCCACTACCGGCCGCTGACAACCACCGCCGGCAACCTAACGGCGCACGGAAGGCAGGAAATGGCCTTCGTGCGCCATATGGCCATTTCCGGCCATGGATTTGGCCGAAAATGGCCAGACGTGACCGATTTGGCCGTCAACGGCCAGATCGATGGCCGTTGATGGCCAGATTGACGGATATGGCCATTTCCGGCAAGATATCTAGTTGGAAATGGCCGTATCGGCACACGGAGACTATTTTCGGCCTTCCGTGAGCCGTTCTGACGGCGACAGGTGGGTGGAGGTGGTGACTTGGGTGGGCTGTAATTTGTTTTGAATTTAAGGGTAATTTTGTCCAAAAAATTAATTAATTGGGATGAAATAATAAAAGTCATATTCATGTAAATAAATTTAAAAATAAAGGCATTATTGTCCAAAATTTTTATTAATAAGGGATAGAATTATAACAAAAAAAGATAACTTTGGTAATCTTAGAATACCTAAGAAAATTGAGGTAATCAAATTACCTTCAATATTATTAATAGTAATTAGTATTTGAAGATTACTGTCATCTTATATTACTTGACAACCAAACATGGTAATCAAGTAATATAAGATGACTTAATTTCAGTAATCCCACATAACCCCCATCCAAACACCCCCTAAGAAATGGATAGCAAATGTAATCTCGAGTACAGAAACTCCAGGCATGTAACAAGAATTGCTACTATATCAGGACTTAGGATTTGCAAGCATCATAATTCTTCAAGTATTATGCAGTTTGTATGTACAAAAATCACGATGTGCATGGTATTATACTTAGATTGACGCCTGATTATCAACAAAAAATATAACATAACTTACAATTTAATCTAAGTATGCAACATTTATCAGATGGGCACGGCTGTTTTCATATCTTTGTGCATTGTTCTAACCAGAGTTGTAACCTGCTCAATTTGATCTTCACTTGAACAAGCTGAGAGAAGTACTTTGGCAGTTCCACCATCTGGGTAACAGCCAGCATCAATCATTTCTTCAAAAATTTCTAAGCATCTTGTGTACAATTTCTTTCTTGAATAGGCGCCAAGCCTTGAAGTCCAAGTCACCACATCAGGTGTTAAACTTTTGGCAGGAAGAGACNGATACATCAAAATAATTGCAAATTTAGGCAGCTGAGATGTAATACAGTGGCGGTATAATGCTCTTCTACTGTTTCATTTTCAGATCAACAAGTGTAAATCTCATCCTCAAAAACAGATATTTCTCTGCTTTTTGCCCATCAGTTCAGTTAAGAAAGGGCTGTGTCTTGAATGTACCACATTTGGACCCAAATATCATGAAGGAATTGTACAGAACAAGTTGTTTCCTTAAAACTCACACTTTCTTTGTTCAATTTCCCAGTTGAAATATTTATCTTTCACGAATAAATTGAAGTTCATTTTCATCAAAAGTTCACTTTACCAATGAATGAAGCAACTAAACTAAACTAGAATCTGAGCTATGTGCACCAAGTAATAAATTGTACGAAGCCAAAACTTGTATATAGACCCAAAAATATAGCATGAATTAAATTTATGCAGTAAGAAACGATTTTTTTTTTTTTAAAAAACAAAAGATTACTTTTAAAACATTTAGGAAGATTCAGACTGCCTTTTTACTATCAGATTATTTATATAACTTTAAGGGGGTTCAGAAAATGTTAGATTACTGGAAAGTTAAATTACCTTAAAGATTATTGGGAATCTTTGGGAAAATGTGTTTGGTTAATTTGTGGGTATATATTAATATGTTTGGTTGGGAGGAATGAATTGGTGGGTATGTTATTTAAATTACTGAATTTTTCTCTAATTAAATATTATTATTATATTATTTTTTAATAGTGATTATTATTTGGATTATATAACCCCCTTACATTTGAAAACTTAGCAAAAACAACCCCATAATAAAAGTTTAGAAAATCAACAAAGCACCCCCACCAACCCAGCCACTACCGGTCGCCGACAACCACCGCAGGCCACCGGCAACCTAACGGTGCACGGAAGGCAGGAAATGACCTTCGTGCACCATATGGCCATTTCAGACCATGGATTTGGCCGGAAATGGCCAGACGTGACAGATTTGGCCGTCAATGACTATATTGATGGCCAGATCGATGGATATGGCCATTTCCGGCAAGATATCTAGTTGGAAATGTTCGTATCGGCGCATGGCGACCATTTTCGACCTTCCTTGAGCCGTTCTGGCAGCGACAGGTGGGTGGGGGTGGTGGCTTGGATGGGCTGCAGTTTGTTTTGAATTCAAGGGTAATTTTGTCCAAAAAATTAATTAATTGGGGTGAAATAGTAAAAGTCATATTTATGTAAATAAATTTAAAAATAAGGGCATTATTGTCCAAAATTTTTATTAATAAGGGATAGAATTGTAACAAAAAAAGATAACCTTGGTAATCTTAGAATACCTAAGAAAATTGAGGTAATCAGATTACCTTCAATATTACTAATAGTAATTGGTATTTGAAGATTACCGTCGTCTTATATTACTTGACAACCAAACATGATAATCAAGTAATATAAGATGACTTAACCTCAGTAATCCCACATAACCCCCATCCAAACGCCCCTAAGAAATGGATTGCAAATGTAATCTCGAGTGCAGAAACTCCAGGCATGTAACAAGAATTGCTACTATATCAGGACTTAGGATTTGCAAGCATCATAATTCTTGCAGTATTATGCAGTTTGTATGTACAAAAATCACGATATGCATGGTATTATACTTAGATTGACGCCTGATTATCAACAAAAAATATAACATAACTTACAATATAATCTAAGTATGCAACATTTATCAGATGGGCACGGCTGTTTTCATATCTTTGTGCATTGTTCTAACCAGAGTTGTAACCTGCTCAATTTGATCTTCACTTGAACAAGCTGAGAGAAGTACTTTGGCAGTTCCACCATCTGGGTAACAGCCAGCATCAATCATTTCTTCAAAAATTTCTAAGCATCTTGTGTACAATTTCTTTCTTGAATAGGCGCCAAGCCTTGAAGTCCAAGTCACCACATCAGGCGTTAAACGTTTGGCAGGAAGAGAATGGAACAGCCCTTCCATTCTCTCGATGAATCCTGCTCGTCCATATACATTGATCAAGATATTGTATGTGCTGATATCAGCTGCATATGGTCCTTTCTCCATTGCATTTAAGGCTTCCTCCATTTTTTCAAATTGGCCCAACCGGCCATACAGGTTCAGCATACTATTGATTACAAAAGTGTCTGGCTTGAGCCCTGCTTTGTGCATCTGGTTTAAGATGTCTTCACATTTGGCGACATTGCCTGTTTTTGAATACGCACATAACAGTAGCATGTGGGATTTCATTGTTGGGCTTATTCCTAGCCGCTTCATATCTTCAAATACAGCTTGTGCATCTAATCACAAAACAAGTAAATGGGGAGAGCTAACTCTCATTAAAAAATGAGATGTAGGATATGTTAATGGAAAAGGAAATTTATTAGAAATATTGTTTTTTCCAAGCATGAAGATACCGTCAGAGTTTTCTAGTAAAGCAGAAAAAGGTTTTTTCTCTTGTTAATATTTCCTTTTAATTAAGTTTAGGAACCACAAATTGTCAACTGAGCACGGAAAATTTTATATATGAAGAGCAGTGCTTGACAGGAAATTCAAATATATGGTAATCACTTTTCAGTTAAAGAGTATTTACCCTCATGAAGACCAGCTCTACCATATGCATCTACCATGATATTATATGAAGCTCTATCAGGTTCACAACCCATGTGCTGCATAAGTGAAAATATTTCTGCAGCGCCATTAGGATAACCTGCACGACTGTTCAGATAAGGGAGTCAAAAAAGTTTGTATGCTCACATACATATGCTTGAGGAATTATTCGAGAGATAGCCATAAAAAGTTTGTGGACACATTAGTTTTTGCCAGAAAGCCGGAGGTATATGCTATCATCAACTGAAAATAGATTTCACCAGATAAGATGATCCACAATGTAACTGTACAAGATATTGACCTGTAAGCTTCCATAAGCGCATTATAAACATAAACATCTGGCTCAAGCCCAGCTTCTTGAAGCTGTTCAAAGATTTCTTCTGCCTTCTGGCATAGTCCCTCCCTAGCAAATGCATTCACTAAAGCAGTATATGTGCAGATATTCGGCTTACACTTCTGACTTCTCATTTCAGTAAACAACTTGAAGGCCATATAGGATTTGCTTGCCTGCACAGCAGAATGTGTACATACAAAGATCAAATCATTTGGGAGAAAATCAATTATAATGTAAAAAATTAGAGGCAGTTACAAGAATTTTGGTTTAGTTGATTTACTGTGTACACATACATATGCAAACGTTCTCACCATATTTTCATTCGATTCCTTACGGCCGATAATCAATTCTATTTTATTTTTCCTTTTTTCATTCTCTTTTTTACCTTTTGCTAAGACATAATGGATACGGGGTAAAGTTTTTATTTATAATAAACATGAAGTTATGTAAGATCAAGACTGAAAATGATATATATCCCAGGAGACTGCATTTTACCCTTTATTGCTTTAATATTTTTCTTAATATAAACAGAATAGTTGTTTCAACTATGCCACTTGAAGTTTCACATTTTTTTCATTCATTCCTTTTGTCTACCTTCCCGTATAAGTTGATCATCATTGTATAAGTTTCAGTAGATGGCTGGCAGTAATCTCGCTTCATTCTCTGAAAGATCTCTATAGCCTTCTCTGGGTTTCTTCCCTTCATTAGTCCATCTATAAAAGCATTATACACAATCGCACCTGTATAAAACTAGTAAGATTAATTTATGAACTCGCATTATAAATAAAGCTCATATCAAAGCATATGAAATGTGAAACATGAAGTAAAAATTCGAAATCTAACGTAGCAAATCGAGTAACACAGTGCTTAATGATCAGAAATTGATAAGATATTCTTAAAAAGGTTATTGAGATTCCAAAAATATACTCACCCCTTGCAAAACTAATTCATAATACTGAAACATTTTAAGGTTAAAAACTTGAACAAGAAAAGTCTAAATCATTCATTTAATTATTGAGTTTCCTCTAAACAATAATGTTCCATTGAAAAGAAATTGAAGAAACAAAGAATTAAAGAAGGAATGTTGATAAATTAAAATAGAAACATACTTGGGGGAAGGCCATACTTCCGCAGCTCAGAAAAGACTGCTTCAGCTTTCTCTAGCAGCCCAGATTTGCAGTAGGCCTTTATAAGAAGGGCATAAGTATCTTCAGTAGGGATACATCGGGCTTCAAGAAGTTCTAAATATAAGGATTCTGCCTTCTTGTGGAGAGATTTTTGCCCATAAGCATCTATAAGCAAATTGAAACACATGACATCCGGCTGGAAGGAGCTCCTGTGCAATATCCATTCACATATCTGGAGATGCTTATAGTGTTACACTTATTGAAACTCATACGCCAAAAATTAATATACACAACAAAACCTCAATGCTTTGAAACTGTATGGGTAAAGGTTAAACACATAATGTTCTTGCTTTTGTCAAAGTTTTGAAATTTGGAAAAAATCACAAGATTCTTGTCAATTTGATAAACTAAAATAAGAGGCAGAGCAGCATAAGTTTCTTACGAAGATGATTGGATCCCATCGTTTATTCAAGCGAAGTTGAACAGCTACATTAATAAGATCATCCCAAGTGGCATGAGTTGGAGGAAGAGTATCAAAAGAGTCACATATATTGTTAAAATTCACTTCCTTTTGTACAAATTGTAGGATTTGCTGAGCAATGGGACTCAACACAGGGAAAATTCCATCAACGAAACCAGATCCATATTTCCAGCCTTTTCCCCTCAACGAACCACCTAAAACGAAAACAATGCCATAAACACATATACAGAGAAAGCCATACATGAAAAGGGCACATAATCAACAATTACAAGAATGCAAACATTAAGGAGTATAAAGCTTTCTTTACATCGTTTTCTAGATAGCTTTTTGTGATTAAAGCTTCTCAATTTTCCATTTTTGTCAATGAAAAAGCCATCTGGGTTGTACTTCTGAATAGAAACACCACTAGAGCTGCTGTTTGCTCTGCATCTGAAATCACTCTTGCAGCTCCTCGGTTCTATCAATATACGATTCAGTGAGTTTCCAACAATCGACCTGAAAAAGCTCAATCACAAATTTACAATTAATATAAAGTTGCATCAGCATTGCTTAGTTCCCTAATGTGTCATAATCGTAGTTGTCACCATATGAAGTGAGGCTGGCTCTAATACAAGAAGCTATCACATGGAATCGAAAATCCAAAAACAGAACAAGCTATGAAGCAATGCCGAAAAGTAACCAGAAAATAAAGCATGAAACTGAGAAGAAGTTAAACATTAAGCTTCTGCAGTGAAAAGAATTCCAAAATCTTAAAATGCTGTGAAATGTTTAAGAAAATAAAACCTTTTCTTTAGTAACCTCTGGAGCATTGATGTTCAAGTGATAAAGAACAAACAAAAAGCCATTCCTACACTTGATGACAAGGGCTTAATTTATAATGTCATTGAAACCAAATCCCATTTCCTAGAACAAAGTAAAAACGCCATAAACACAAAGAACATGTAAACTTTTAAAAGAGATAACAGAAACAATAATGAACCAAAAGAGAAGTAGAAAACGAAGATAAAGCAAGAAGAAGAAGATGAAGTAAGAGAAAGGATTAGAGATTTACATGAAGGAATAGAAGTTAGTGGGAAATGTTTAATGTCCAAGAAAAGAAGGTTCAGTTGAAAAATGAAGATAACGAACTCAAAAATATCTAACACTGACAGTTAGAAACTTTGCTTGGATGGGTAGTACTTTGGTACCGATTCCTTGCTAACCGTTGGATCAATGGGATTTTTTTTCTCCAAATGGGATGATTTTTTTTCCTTTAAACAGATTAGTATTTTCCAAATAAATATTTTTTTATGTGATTACAAATTTAATTCTTTTTGTAATTTTATGATTAAATCTTTCCTTTAAACAACAGATTAGTAATTTTTAGCGACAAAATTATGCATAAACTTATAAAATAAAACACTGGTTAACATTATTAATGAAATATTCTTATAGATAACCGTCCTTACTAAACTCAAGTTTATGACTAGACTTGTGTCTCCGATCCTTTCAATTAGATTTAATTGAATTATAAATGAGTTGTGCTAGCTTATTCTTATANAGGTTCAGTTGAAAAATGAAGATAACGAACTCAAAAATATCTAACACTGACAGTTAGAAACTTTGCTTGGATGGGTAGTACTTTGGTACCGATTCCTTGCTAACCGTTGGATCAATGGGATTTTTTTTCTCCAAATGGGATGATTTTTTTTCCTTTAAACAGATTAGTATTTTCCAAATAAATATTTTTTTATGTGATTACAAATTTAATTCTTTTTGTAATTTTATGATTAAATCTTTCCTTTAAACAACAGATTGGTAATTTTTAGCGAGAAAATTATGCATAAACTTATAAAATAAAACACTGGTTAACATTATTAATGAAATATTCTTATATATAACTGTACTTACTAAACTCAAGTTTATGGAGTAGACTTGTGTCTCCGATCCTTTCAATTAGATTTAATTGAATTATAAATGAGTTGTGCTAGCTTATTCTTATAGTGTACTTGTCTGAGGCAATCTCTGTTTTAATAACTGGACCAGACCGGCCAATCGGACCGAGACCCGACAACTTCTTCGGTCCAGTTTAAGTCTTAGGAAGGTTTTTATAATATTTCATAATTATAAGGGTTAATATAATTTTATAAGGGTGATTTGAAGATATGTCAAAAGTTTAGAGAATAATTAATAATTTTTTGGGGCATTTTTAAATAAATAAAAATTTTAAGGATTATTTTAAACTTTTTTAGGGAATTTTTTGTAATATATTAAAATTTAAGGGATTAATATATAATTTTTTAAAAATACGCTGACATCATTAAACCCATGACCCAAGCAGCAAAACAGGTTACCCTCCGGTCAGGTTTTAAAACAATGGAGGCAACTATATCATCTAAAGCTGTTGGCCGAAGTAAAAACATTAGAAATGAACGATAAATGGCGAAATTAGTATCCATGTTTTGGCACTAATAAAAGAAACAGATGAGGGTGATTAGATGATTTAACATAGGACAAATCAACTATTCTCAAGGTTTGAGCATTCACATGTAACTAGATTCTGTTTAGAAGTCCTGAAAAAAGACAGTTGATTCATTCCAAATTGTGAGGGGTAAAGAGCAAGCTATTCCACTTCAGCCAAATAATCGTCAATTTCACCTGGGGTTAGTACCCTGCAAAGACAAAAGAAATTTATTTTACCATACACAAACATCGGAAGCTGGGAATCATTAAACACCTATACTTGAAATTCCGAAATTGCGATATCAGTTAGGTTAGTATTAAAAATAACTAGACAAAACCAAACTTACCGGAATTTTTTGTCTGCACCAATAATTCCAATCTCAATGTTTTTACTAGAAATTTGTCCTTCAAATCTGCACAAATATTAAAAAAAATGTTATTGGGCAACTAGATAAACTGAAGTAAACTTGAAGGAATTACAGCTGGTCCTATGAAATTAGATTTTGGGTCTCTAGACCTTCATATTCATTTGAACATCTAGAAGTGGGGAAGTAGATATATAGTGTGATCTGTAGCTGTTTAAGTGTATAGTGATTGATGGGAACCTCAGAGTAAGAAGAATAGGAGAAGCAAAAGAAACTTAGGAAGAAACCCAATATTATCAATCAATTCATATTCTAGTCTATAAACAATAATAAACTATCTATTTATAATGGTCAAAAAAAATTATATAGTAAATAAAAATACCGAATTAGTCCAAACAGATGATAAATTAAATCCTAACAGAACACGAAAACAAAACAAACTAGGTTGTCCTACATTAGTGATCTCATTTTTTATTCTGTATTCTTGAGCGGTGGACTGCAACTTCATGTTTCTTGTATAAACATCTGGTTTTGGGGTTAATTTGTCTTTGTCTTTATAAACTACAAATACACAATTCTACTTACAATGAAGTATTCGCCACCATAAAAAAGATATTCCCAAGTTGTTCCACACATATGGATTCTTTATGGCCAAGAATATCTAAGAAAAATAATAACTAAAAAAAAAAAAAAGGTGGACAAAAAGGTTTAGTCATGTACCCCTCCTTCAGTGTCAGAATGGCAGTATGCACAGCATCGTCAAGCTCCATATCATCAGTGTATCTAAAGGAAACATTAACATAGTTAATGCACACAGTTAAGGCAAAAAACAAAGTTACTCAAAAAGAAGGGAAACTGGGAAGTAAAATGTAAATAGATGAAATGTCACTGCAAATATTCAATACAAACTAAACAATGCATCAATATATCAAATTAAGGTAACACAACTACCAGCCTTTACAAGTTAAAAGCACAAATAAAACTAGTATAATTTAGGAACTCCAGAAAAAATTCTGTACCAATTTGAAGAAATTAAATAACTAGAGTGACAATTCTAATCAAACTAAACTAAGTCAAATCACAATTCTATTGGGCCACCAGTCTAAGGCGTTACAGGTTTGACAAAAATTTGATCCTAGACCTTTTCCTTCATTAAAAGAAATCTAACCGAGTAAGTTATCCCCTTAGTGACATTAAAACAAAATCACAGAAATTTCTATTTAATCAGAAAATAACAAATGCAAATGAGGAAGAGTTATGACTTAATTAGTACAGAACTTCAGTGGCAACCAGATGCCAGTGCAAATACCTCTTCTCAAGAAATGTTTTTGCATTTGAGACATTCTTCCCCATTGCTGAAGCCTTCCATGAGAAGTAGGAACCAGATGGGTCCACCTACCAAAATTTAAAAAACAATAATTAACTTTTGCATGGTTAAAAATTGTGCCAATCATATAAATGTCAAAAGATTCGTCAAAATGACAAGTAGGGCCTTGCTCAGAATTTTATATGTTGCAATGTTAATAAAGCTATAGAAAGAAAAACAAACAGATAAGTTCCACTCAATTATGAATACTAACAGACCTTGTTACCTAATACTCCCAATATAATCACAAGCACTTCAAATCAGCTATCATTGAGAGAAGCATTATAACAATTTCTGCAGTGTGAATGTTACCGATAATTGAAAGAATGCCAATATGTAAAGTATCAAATTATTTTTTGAAAATCAGGTAGAAAGAATATTTTTATGCTAGAAAACACCAGAGCACCCAAACCATTCTAGATACAAGCAGAAATAGATCAAAATGGATGCCAAGAACAATTAAAACATAATATTCTTATAAAACAATTAATGTCATACACGCCAGCATACAATTTCCAGGGCATACACCTGTAAACTTGTTGGCATATCACATAAAATATTCTAGTTACTCAAGATAGCAACAGAAAACATTAATAACTTCATATAATACAAATTAAAGAAAGAGATACCTGGTATAGTTGCGGACCCTTGTCATCAAACCCAGCAACCAGCAAAGACACTCCAAAAGGTCTCACTCCTCTACCAGAAATAGGATAGAAATAAGATATTGAACTTTGTATATACGAAATAAAATGGTTTCTTATCAATAGTTCTCCCTCGTTAATTCTTTCAAAAAAAATAAGAAGAAAAAAAGAAAGTCAATATTAATATTAATTAAACATAAAAACACCGGTGCATAAAAGTTATGCTACTCTATGAACATTGGTTTCACATTAAATCCCAAAAATTACCTAGCATTGTAATCCTTTAACTTATGCATCTCACATTCATTATAACTCAAAAAAAGAGTGAAACACATTTAAAGTTTTTACTAACTGATATGCAGATTACCCGGATTGAGTGAACTCCTGCATAACAGTTGCAGTTTCCCTCACAAGTTGTGTGACAGGGATTGGTTCCTACAAATAAAAAAAAAAAGTCATGCATTTGAGTAATTGTATAGGCATCAAAAGGGTTCTACATAATAGCCATAAAATTTTCTCTCTGCTGAATCAAAGAAATTCCCAAATTATGCAAGCATGATCATAACTTAATGCAAAAAATAAAAAACAAAAATTCATATTACAAATTCATGTGGTAATAGGATTGTGCAAAAGAAAGCAAAAGGGTGAAAAAATATGAATAAGAGATTGACCTTATATAATCTATGATACTGTTCTGCTTGCTTTCTACTTTTTCGGACCAAAACCCGGAAATCAGGACCCATCCCACTGCAGCAGAAAAATACCAATTAGAGTTTATACTATAGTGTTAGTGAAAAGAATGGATACAGGAAACAGACAATATATTACTGGCAAAGCAACTATATTACAAGGTAAGGCAAATGAGTTAAGACATATGCTTGTGTATGAACCAAAACTGTAAAATATGTATATATACAACCATATGAATGTCCCACTTTAAGCATTGTTTAAAGCAAGTCCCATACCCATGCCAATGTACTGTGATAACCAACAAGTGACATTGAAATGCCTAATATGTTTTCTAGGTAGGCACACCATAAAATTATAACTGTTTCAAGTAACAGAAAAGGAATAGCTTGTTTTATCTTTCAAGAAGTAAAAGCATTCAAGATCTGTTGGTTACACTATCACACACACCAAAAGAAAAGACCTAAGGTTTAATTACATTGATGGCACACTTTGAGTTGAACCCACTTTCTGAAACTGACAGTATTATCAACTAGTATTTCAAGTTGGAATCATACTCGGTAACAGTACTCATATAAAACATGCATATGAATGAGCAGCCAACATCAAATTATCACAACTCATAGAGTTATTAGCAAAATAATGAGATAAATACGACAAAAACAGAAGTATTATCAGCATTCTAACTATTACTTGTACATATCACTTAAACCATAAAACAAAGGACTAACATAAACTCTCAACAGCAAAGAAAGTAAAAGCAAACCTGTAAACAACTCCAATGTTTGGGGTCAAAGACTGAATTTTCTGAACCTGAAACAAATGAAAATCAACTAATTGTTACCCACTAAATGACTACTCACATATTCAATACAACACACAAGCTATATTTTTACTTACAGAAGTTTCATCAACCAAAATCGAAGGCAGTTTCTTTTCGGTGGCAATAACAACGCCATTAGCGGCTGCAATATTAAATCAAAAACTCAAACGAAAGAAAGAAGAAAAGAACTTTTATAATATCATAAATTTAAATCAATTTAATACCTTTGATTCCTAGAGATGTTTGACCAGAACCAACGGCAGTCAACGCGTGTTCGATCTGAACTAGCTTTCCTGAAGGACTGTATGTTTGACAAACAAATCAATTAGTTAATAAATCAATTGAACTACATGAAATGTGAGAGTTGGTGAGTGAGGTTTAAACCTGAAAGTAGTGAGAGAAAATGAGTATTGACTATCGCCCATAGTGAGCTAGAGCTTCAACACAAAGAATCAATTGAGAGAAAGATTGATTTTCTCGGGAAAATTTAAGAGAAAACAATGAGTTTAAAGAAGAGCTCTTTAACTTTCTTGTTTGGGAAGAAGCTTTTATTGGGCTGGGTTTGGCTCGGATCTTCTGCCCATAAGCCCCATCACGAGTTTGCCCCGGCCCGAAAATAATTCTGAAAAAACCGTTTTTGAAATTTAACTTATATAAACCAATCACATTTTCATAATTTCTTTACTCAAAAATAAAAATTATATTTAAATCATATAACACATCGGTGTCATATAGCCCATCTTCAAATTTATTTCAATATTATCAAGTCAACATATCGGGAAAATCTTCATCAAGAATAACATATTATATATTTGTTTCACAAAAGGGGATAAATTTTAAATATCATTTTGCTTTTAAGATTGGTTTGAGGATCACGACTTTTGATCTAGTTAGCATGGTTTATATTATGAGCAATGTTAGTTTTACAAAGACACATATGAAGGGGTTATACAAAGACAATCCTCACCCTTGATTTTCATGATTTTTTTTTCTCTCTCTCTTTTTCCGTTTTTTCTTTGTCTTTTTCTTCTTGATGATGTCACTTTGTAGCTCTCTTTGTATGGGTCTTTGTGAGAATATCATTTTTCTTATATTTTATAAGTAGTATGTCCCAATTTTTTCAATAGCATCATGTCAATAAAGAGAATCTTTAGTAAGATTAGTATACCGCATTAATAGTACGCGTATTCAATAAATATTTTTACATATAAAAAGATTAAAGTTGAATCAATTTAACCTAAAGTTATGGCACCAAAATAGATTGGCAATACTATTATGATAACTAAAACTCTAAAAGTAATGATGTCAAAAATATACTCAATCATGTGATAACCGAAATAATTGATTATGTGTTTCTGATTCTAAGTACTAACTGAATTAAGATAATTATTTTCAACGTAATCATATTAATAATACTTCAACTTTCATTAATCACGTAGGAATATATATTTAAGTAGATGATTATGAAAGTGGGATGTTGTACTAGTTACTTACAAAGGTTAGTCAAAGTATACGTAAATTGACTCGGATACTTTGGTTCAACAAATATATATATATAACATAAATGTCCAATATATGTGTGGAATGAATCAAATCATCATCAAATTTTACACTTCCATTAGAAGGAGCTCATACATGTTCAAAGCTTCATGTAAATACTTCGCTCACATGAGAAGGTATCTATGTTAGTTTAATTTAACCCCTAGTTTTTCAATAATATTAACTTGAATAAGTAGAAATCGAATCATAAGCTCATACAGTGTGTTTGTTTTATTATTTTGAATAATATTTTTGAAAATGTTAAATTGAGTTATTATTACAAGATAAAATTTGAATTTAAAAATGTGTTTGGTAAGATTCTTTTAATCCCCTATATTTGTTAATTTAGTTAAACACCCCCTACAATAAAAGTTTTAAAATTAACAAAAACACCTCCACCCATCCATTAAATGCCGGTAGCCGGCTATCAAGAATATGTGGGTGGATAAGGGTGTTTTTGTTAATTTATAAATTTTTATTATTGGGGTGTTTAGTTAAATTAACAAACCTAAGAGGTTTAAAATAGTTGAATAAAATAGAATGAAAACAAATATTTATATTTTGGGTAGGATATGGATAAGATATGGTATAAATAATGCCCCAAGCACAGCCAATAATATCAATGCTCTTGTGGATAAACTACCCTAAAACTTACAAGATGTTGCAATCAATATTAGGAATGAAATTCTCCAAGATATTTTGGACCTTTGGTTTCATAAATATTAATTTACAAACTAATTAAATATAAATTATTACAATTAATCAAATAATAAAAAAAAAAGGTAATGAAATATGTGAAAGTGTTAAACAATCAATTTCCTCTATGTGATTTGACCTCTTATAAAGACAAAAATACTGAATCTTTTAGACAAAACACGTTGACCAAATAAGTCTAAACCACGCTCAAAGTCCCAAACTGTACAACACTGGGCCCATTCGGCCCATTATTTATTCTAATATTACTCCCCCAGAATCCGAAAACGTCGTTGCTCACCCCTCGATAAATTCTTTACATGCCTTTTTCACCAACTTCTCCTTCTCATGACATCTGTCTCCACCTCTCCTTCTGAGTCGTGACTCCACTATCTCTGCTTCATTTGCAACACGTGGCCATTTCTACTGTCACTCCCTCTTTCTTCCCTGCCTTCGAACCTTCATCGATCCTCTAACGCGCGCTGTGACTGGTCCATGACGGTGAATCTCTCATTACAGTCTCATTGTTCTTTGCAACTATATATTATTTATTGTTACCGAGATTTTAGTTGTTGAATCTGAGCGCTAGAGAAACGTAAGAGAGAAGTACTTCGTTTTTGTGTCTCCGTTCGGCTTACTCTTCTGTCGAACCACCGGTACTTCACTTGCAATATTCAATCACACTAAACAATGCATCATATATCAAATTAAGGTAACACAACTACCAGCCTTTACAAGTTAAAAGCACAAATAAAACTAGATATTTTTAGGAACTCCAGAAAAAATTCTATATCAATTTGAAGAAATTAAAATACTAGAGTGAACATTCTAATCAAACTAAACTATCAAATCACAATTCTATTGGGCCACCAGTCTAAGGCATTCAGGTTTGACAAAAATTTGATCCGAGACCTTTCCTTCATTGAAAGAAATCTAACCAGTAAGTTATCCCCTTAGTGACATTAAACAAATCACAGAAATTTCTATTTATCAGAAAATAACAAATGCAAATGAGAAGAGTTTATGACTTAATTAGTACAGAACTTCAGTGGCAACCAGATGCCAGTGCAAATACCTCTTCTCAAGAAATGTTTTTGCATTTGAGACATTCTTCCCCATTGCTGAAGCCTTCCATGAGAAGTAGGAACCGTGGGTCCACCTACCAAAATTTAAAAAACAATAATGACTTTTACATAGTAGAAATTGTGCCAATCATATAAATGTCAAAAGATTCGTCAAAATGACATAGGGCCTTGCTCAGAATTTTATATGTTGTGATGTTAATAAAGCTATGGAAAGAAAAACAAACAGATAAGTTACTCCAATTATGAATACTAACAGACCTTGTACCTAATACTCCCAATATAATCCAAGCACTTCAAATCGCTATCATTGAGAGAAGCATTACGATTTCTGCAGTGTGCATGTTACTGATAATTGAAAGAATGCCAATAGTAAAGTATCAATTATTTTTTGAAAATCAGGTAGAAAGAATATTTGTATGCTAGAAAACACCAGAGCACCCAACCATGCCGATCCAAGCAGAAATAGATCAAGATGGACGCCAAGAACAATTAAAACATAATATTCTTATAAAACAATTAATGTCATACACGCCAGCATACAATTTCCAGGGCATACACCTGTAAACTTGTTGGCATATCACATAAAATATTCTAGTCACCACAGATGGCAACAGCAACACTTATACTTCATATATACAAATTAAAGAAAGACATACCTGGTATAGTTGCGACCCTTGTCATCAAACCCAGCAACCAGCAAAGACACTCCAAAAGGTCTCACTCCTCTACCAAAATAGATAGAAATAAGATATTGAAATTTGTATATACGAAATAAAATGGTTTCTTATCAATAGTTCTCCCTCGTTAATTCTTTCAAAAAAAATAAGAAGAAAAAAAGAAAGTCAATATTAATATTAATTAAACAAAAACACCGGTGCATAAAAGTTATGCTACTCTATGAACATTGTTCACATTAAATCCCAAAAATTACCTAGCATTATAATCCTTTAACTTATCATCTCACTTTCATTATACTCATCAAAAAAGAGTAAACACATTTAAAGTTTTACTAACTGATATGTAGATTACCCGGATTGAGTGAACTCTGCATAACAGTTGCAGTTTCCCTCACAAGTTGTGTGACAGGGATTGGTTCCTACAAATAAAAAAAAAAGTCAGCATTTGAGTATTTGTATAGGTCAAAAGGTTCTACATAATACCATAAAATTTTATCTCCGCTGAATCAAAGAAATTCCCGAATTATGCAAGCATGATCATAACTTAATGCAAAAATAAAAAAACAAAATTCTATTACAAATTCATTGGTAATAGATTGTGCAAAAGAAAGCAAAAGGGTGAAAAAATATGAATAGAGATTGACCTTATATAATCTATGATACTGTTCTGCTTGCTTTCTACTTTTTCGGACCAAACCCGAAATCAGCCCCATCCCACTGCAGCAGAAAATTACCAATTAGAGTTATACTATAGAGTTAGTGAAAGAATGGATACAGGACAGACAATATTACTGGCAAAGCAACTATATTACAGGTAGGCAAATGAGTTAAGACATATGCTTGTGTAGAACCAAACTGTAAAATATGTATATATACAACCATAATGTCCCCCTTTAAGCATTGTTTAAAGCAAGTCCCATACCCATGCCAATGTACTGTGATAACCAACAAGTGACATTGAAATGCCTAATATGTTTTCTAGTAGGCACACCATAAATTATAACTGTTTCAGTAACAGAAAAGGAATAGCTTGTTTTATCTTTCAAGAAGTAAAGCATCCAAGATCTGTTGGTTACACTATCACACACCCCAAAAGAAAAGACCTAAGGTTTAATTCATTGATGGCACACTTGAGTTGAACCCACTTTCTGAAACTGACAGTATTATCAACTAGTATTTCAAGTTGGAATCATACTCGGTACAGTACTCATATAAAACATGCATATGAATGAGTCGCCAACATCAATTATCACAACTCATAGAGTTATTAGCAAAATAATGAGATAAATACGACAAAAACAGAAGTATTATCAGCATTCTAACTATTACTTGCACTATCACTTAAACCATAAAACAAAGGACTAACATAAACTCTCAACAGCAAAGAAAGTAAAAGCAAACCTGTAAACAACTCCAATGTTTGGGGTCAAAGACTGATTTTCTGAACCTATAACAAATGAAAATCAACTAATTGTTACCCACAATGACTACTCACATATTCATACAACACACAACGTAT